GGCGATGGTTCGGAGTAATTGGAGCTTTTGGGGTGCTTTGGTCGGCGTAAAGTCGCATCCAACCATGAAATGCTGTGCCTGGTATTGTGCAAGGTCGTCGTCTCACGTCTCATGTCATACATAGTATTTCCTTGGCCTTGTGTGCGTATTTGGTTTGGTTCTGGCGGTTGTTTCTTGGGCCGGAAGGCAAGGGTGTGCAGGGATTGGCCATATGCAGGGCCCAGCCCTTTAGGTAATCCACAGCGAGCCCTTGCCATTCATCAATCCATCAATATGCAGCCTCATGACTGGGCTCAATCGCGATGCACCACTTGCCGCCGCCACCATTTCGTGGCACGACAGAAGCAGTAGTCGAAAATCAGTCACGCAAATACTAACGCTTTATTTGCTGGTTTTCCCGGGCTAACACGTTTCTTTTTGCGGGCGGGCGGCTGGCTTGCGGCAGTAAGCGAGCGGCGACAAAAAAGCAAAACCAGAAAACCATCCTTGGAAGAAATGGTACGAGCACAGAAAAAGAAATGGCTGCGAAATGACGGCCCCTCCTCCAATGCGGAGAGAGGGCGAGCTTTAGCTGCGTGGCTGGCCTTAGCGGCGCTCCATTCACCATTTCGAGCCGGACTTGCCTGCTCGTCGAGGCATGGCCTGTCCATGGTCTGTCCATGGTCGTCGAGGCAAACGCGCAGACAGGACGACAAGAGATACCTGGCCAGCCCCCACATCCAAGTCTTTTCGGAGTCACAAATTAAGGGTCCAGCGAAGCAACGACAGAGAGCTGCTCGGGATAATGCATGCTGGCTGGGCTGTCACATCACACACTCGCACCACCACCAGGGCCTAGAAGAAGGCCATGGAAGACGCACTGGCTTTGGCTTGACTTGAAAAAGAAGCAAGAAAAAAAAAATTGGGTGAAAAAGACCGGCGCCGTGGCTACTAACTAATACCTAATTACATTACGAGGACTACTTGATTCAGGTGGCTGGCCCTAGTTGGGACGAGTGTTGCCCTGCTACCATTGAAGCCGTCGACACATGCTTGGACAGGGACGGTACTGTACTGTACTGTACTATACTGTACTGCACTCTTTGGTGTTTGGATGCATTAGCATCGTGTCGTATCTCGCTTTCGCTCTTTTGCATCAATCGTGTTCCAGTAAGCAGATTCAGGGCAGAACAGCGCAGAACAACGCAGCCGGTGGAGGTCTCGGCTTCAGCTAGCCTAGTTTCTACCGTCCCTCTCCCCCACGAAAGACCGGAGATTGTCCTTCGCTCAATGGTTTGGTCATCGCTTGGAGGCTTGGTGGGGGAAGGGGGAAAAGCACATGAAGCCGTTGGATGAATGGGCTTTGGCTACGTGTACAGACGAAATGTGTCGCATACATGATGCTTGCGCTTGTGCCTGTGCCTTGCCTGGGCTTGTGCTTGTGCTTGTGCTTGTACCTGTGCTCGTACTCGTGCTGAGGGCCACAAGTATCTCCGGAGTAGCTGCTCATGTACTGCCGGCTAACTGGATGCGGCTGCATCTGTAGTTGACAGGTCAAATCTTCCTGGCTGGAGCCTAGCCATGGTGGCTTGCTCTTCAACCTGAGTCGTCAAGACGCCGCATAAGTGTCTCTCGCTGTGCCACTCGCTTGGCGTGCCCGCCTACCCTGCAAGACACTGTCCAATGACAATTTTTCACATCTCCTTCTTTTTTTGTTTTATTTCGTATGGATTGGAGCCAAGTTTATTGCCTATTTCTACTGTGGCGCTGTTGTCTCTTCTCTCACATGCCAGACTCGGCTATTGGCTGGAAGTTAAACCCGCAGCCTCACTCAGTTCATAACTGTCAAGCAGAAACTTTGAACCGTCGAGCAAACGGTGTCCGACGAGCCGGTCCGTCCGGAAGGCTAAAGTGCTAGACAGGAGCCATTTTCGACTTCCAACGACTAGATGAAGCTACTAATTAGAAACGGAGTGTCTGTTCCTTGATTTCCGCAAGAGGAGGGTTGCAGTGCGGGAGGGAGAAAAAAAAAAAAAAAAGAAAATCCTTCGCTGGAACCAACAACAAACTGCATCGACACATGGAGATGGAATCGCATCATGTTGCAACGCCATACTTAGTACCTACCGTATCGTGCAGTACAGTACTTGACCACTACAGCCAGCACTAGCCACTGGAATGTCCAACGCTTCGGCCCTTCACCCCCCGATGAGGCGGCCCTCCGAGCGACTCCCCCTCCGATTGTTTTTCGCAATCCTCTTTTGCGGTAGCGGCAGTTGGCGGCTCCCCGGATATGTTTCGCGCAGGCATATGAGCAACTGAGCTCCATTTCGAATCCACCAGAGGGAGCCCGTTGTATATCGCAGTCGCCTTTATCTCCGTAGTCGGCTCACCATGCAGACGCGGGGGAAAAAGACGCTGCGACTCGACTAACCGTCTATTATCTACTCAACTACGGAGTACTGTACGCACAATTATCCAGCCGCCAGTATCTGCTAAGCTGACGGACTGATACGGACGCTTGCTTACATGTATACAAGCATCTCGCTCGCACAGCTGGGCTCAGCCACCAGGGCCGAAAGCTGCAGGTGGCAGAGAAGGCGCGGCAGCGATCGCTGTCCACGTACGAGCACGAGCGCATCTACAGCTTATAGTAGGCAAGATAGAGTGCCCTTGCAAGCTTCGACTTGGCTTCAGCCGGCGCCGCAGACGCGGGCTAGCATACATGTGGCAGGCCGTCAACTGCCAGACACGTACCCACCATCCCATGTCCGCCATGATTGTGAGTTGTCGAGACGTGAAGGCGGCTCGGTCGTGTCGAGTTATTACAGCTCGTTCACAGAGAGGGAATTAACTCGTACAGCTTCTCTCAATTGACCAGCCAGTGACATGGGCCTGGTGACAGTCCCTCGCTTGCGTTTGCGCATCCATCTCCTGTTCCTTCACTCTGTCAGTTATAATGTGACCCAGCCTGCCGCAGCAAGCATGGCTTGCAGTGGGCATTGTGAGTACGAATGCTGTACAAGTGAGTGATGTGAGTTAGCAGAAGCGAGGCAGTTCAGATTAGCTGAGTGGACATGACAGGGAGAGAAAAAGAAGAATCTCCACTCCCCTCCCCTCTCCTCCTCCTTCCTCCCCCCCAGTCGACGAACAGCAGAGGCAAAGTCGGGGCTTATCGCCTTTCAGGTGAGGCGTTCGCTTGCTGGCCGTCATGGATCGTGGCATCATGATGGAGGATTGCCCCGGAAGAGGGGGTGTGCATTGCCTAGACGATATTCTGTGCATATTCAACCGAGCTAGCCTTGAGCGGTGGGGGCCGTGATCCCAAGATGAGGAGAAAAAAAGGGGACTTTGAGATGGGGGAGGATGGAGATGGAGGGGGCGTGGAAAAGACATCGTGATGCCGAAATGTTGGAATCCGGCATCAAGCATGCATATGCGGCATGGAGCAAACGTACAAATTAGTATACAGGCTCCAGATTACATGGAACGCTTTGCTGCACCTGCATTGCATTGCCCGTCGTGGATGAACCTACGTGTCATGGATGGCCTCGTTTTGTGATTTCGCAAACTGCTACCGTCATTGCGAATGCTCCTGTCCATGTATATCCATGTACATGACTTGGCGGCAGAAAGCACACGACTACTGCTGCTGCTTGAAGCGACTAACACTAGGCCACTTGACTCATCTTATTTTCTACATTAGCCGGCCGTGTTGTATCCCGAGGCAATTCAGCAGACGAACATGCAAACAAGGCCTTCCCCTCTCAGCTTAACCAGTATTTCCAGTTCCCTGTTTTGATTGAGCTAGACAAGTGTCGTAACAATCAATAGCCGATGACCAACTACTATACTAGTAGTACAGCCATCTCTGTGTGAGGAATGAGAGTAGTGTGAGTGTGAGTGCGAGTACGAGAGTGTGTGTGCCCCTTCAGCCCTGTCAACGAGGGAAGCTCATGACATGGACCACCCTCGTCCGCGTCACCCACAGCAATTGATTGCAATGACGACGGGAGATCCGGCTATCGAGGGATGATCTATCAACTTGGACCAGGTTTCTCCGTATTTTCGTAATTCTGGAGGGCGCGCTACTCAACGGCCGCAAAGCCTTAGCCCCAATGGTTATGTAAGAGCTAAAGATGGGTGCGATTTTTTTTTTGGCCACCTCGTGCTTCCCATGCGGCGATGTCTCAGCTGAGGGCGGGCTGTATTATCGTATTTGTTCAGCGCGGTGAAGGGGGATAGCCTTACGGGGAATAATGTGATGGGCTGAGATGATTGGGTGGGCGCTAGGAACGAGGAGTGTGGTGCCTTGTTTTTCTTTTTTTTTTCTTTCCTTTTGACAAAAACGAAGTGATGTGTCACAGCGAGATAGCAGGATTGGTCATATGTTGCGGAGTATTAATTGCGTGATGGAGGTTGTGGCAGTGTTTATGTGAATCGTCATATTGTGAATAACGAGAACACGAAGACGCGTGGTGATTGCGATTATACTTTCTATAGGTGCTTGTGACCTGCTGGATTTTTGAAGGGCCTACCTTACATATCAGGTACCTGCAGTCATATATCATCATATTCAAGACTCTGACGTGTACGTGGATTTGTCCCGAGGGCAGCCGTCTTATGAAAAGGTGTAGTATGAGAGCGCGTGAGATGATCGATTTTGGTATTCTCCCTGAGGAAGAATGAGACTCAGATTGCCGGGTATATGGGTGCTTGATCAGTATCCCCAAAAGGATATGGAAGACAAGGCAGCAAAGTGTATATCTCACAGTGAAATAATGGTTCATCTTAGATGGAAAACCTACATCAACTTAGAAAATTCAAGGTCTAACGCAGTATAATTTAGTGTTTTCTCGCCATCTAATGAGGAAATTGATGAAATCTAATAGAGAATAGTAGAAAAGAAAACACGCTTTTGTTATGCAACTCTAAAAAAGTAAAAAAAAAAAACCGGAATCTCGCTAATCGCCGCCCATCGCAGTAGAGTACAGGTACCCTTGTCTGCTGCCAAACCCCTTTTAAATCTTTCCACCCAGATACAGGATATTCTCCTTGATCTGTTCTGTAATAAGTTGTGACTCTCCCGTGTAGACGTATGCTACCGTCTCGGGCCACACCTGAGGATGAGGCAATGCCAATTCTATCGTATCTCCTCGAAGTACTCGATCCGACATGATGACGGCAGCCAACGCTGGTAACTGTGCTCGCGCGTATTGGACATCTGCGTCGTTTTTGTTAATTAAAGTTCTTTGGAGGAAAGCAAGGGGGGGAGAAAGAAACAAAGAAACTTACTTATGGGCACAGCAATAGATTGAGCTGAGAATCGCCGCCGCTTGCTGGGTCGAGGAGACGTGACGGTTTTCGCAGTGTTTCTTACATCGCCATCACGCCCTTCTTCTCCGTCTTCATCTTCTTCTTCAACACCACTTGCATCGATGGAGGCGGCATCCGGTGGATAAGACGCCCGTCGTTTTCTGTTCAATGGCTCCAAATTGGATAACAGTGCCTCGGCATTGAAGTTTGGTGACCGAGGAGATGGCAGAGGATCTGGTATCGTTGCTCTCAATGCATCTAGATCAAACTCGCGCTTCAGTCCAATGGGTGAGTGTGATTTTGAGTGGATAATTGCCCGGACAGACAGCCGCCTCGATGATGTCGAAGTTGGAGACAGCAAGGCGGGAGATGGCAAAGGGGAGGATGAAGACGTAGTAGATGGTGTGCCTGGATCTTCTGACAGCGATCTGACGTCTTCATGACTTGTTTTGAGTGGCAGTGGCCTGACAAACACGTCTGCGTCTTCGAGACGGCCGAATCTCTTGGGTCCTTGTTCCCAAAGTTCTAGGCGTGATCGCTGAATATCCGCAAGCTGCATCCGTCGAATGTCAGATTCAGAAGAGGGAGATGTTGGTGTGACATTGGCCGAGAGAGTGACAGAAAGCGACATTCGAAGAGTACCGGGGGAGCATGGTAAAGGGATACCACCTCTTCCACCAGGCATGTGATGACCTCTTGCAGAAGGTGACTCGACGATAATCGAACGTCGCACGCATGATCCATAATAAGCAGGCTCAACCCCTGGATTTGTGAATGGTACCACAGCGGATGTGGCGTCCGGTATACGGATCTTTCTCAGTGCCTGTCTCTCCGCGAATCGCATCTCCCTCCTCATGTTACCAAAACCAGGCACGACTGAGTTGAGAGAATGAACATCTGCTGAGATGGCTCCCGACAGGGGGCTAAGTCTCCGTCTTGAGAACCTGTGTGGTCTATCCAAGAGATTTGCATGACCTGTTTGGATAGGTTCAATAATGATGGGGCGACGGTGCCGACGGTTTCTTGAGAAGGACATGATGAAGACAGATGAACGTTTCTGCGTTGAACAGTATGCTAAATGCTGAACGTAACACAGAATGGTCAATGAAACACAAGCTACAATGCGAGGAATCTTTCGAGAAATATTCCGAATTATATCGCAATGACCCAGCCCCTTTTTTCTCTCTAGATCTGATCTCGGGAGGCTTTGACGGCTGCAACAACATGCCGAGTTGTTTTGATTGCGCCACGTTCACATCAATGGCAAAACTAGTCTTCCATTCCCCATTCACGCACGGATTTTGTTTTCTTTTTTTTTCACTTCTTTTTTTTTTTCTTCTTTCCTTGGCCTGCACATTACAAAGGTCAATAGACGTGACGTGGCGGCTGAGCTGTCAGTCATCGTTGGTGATGATGGGCGATATCGCTCCCTTGTGACAAAGGCGCACGGTTTGCAAGTCGCTGCGTCCCAACAAGGAGAACAAAGAGATGGAAACGATCTCATTCCTTCTAGTTGGTTCTGCATCATCAAAGGCCTTTTGATGCAAAATTTTTTCTTCTAATTGTTATTATTTTGTTTCAGGTTATGCCATTGTTGGTTTGTTGAAAGAAGCACCGTCATTCATCTGGCCAGCCCATGATAGGATGACTGATGGTGTCGCGCACGTGATGGCCCATTATGGGCGAGAATTGTCCACGAAGCGCGAACTGATTGGCTTATACAACCGGCCAGGTTGACAGCGCACCAAAACGCCGTCAAAGAAATACCGTCGAGCGCTCGGGCTTGTTGGAGGCCTGCATTTTGCTTTTTGCTGTCCGTTGCTCTGGGTCATTGTCATTCAGCTATCATGCGATAGGTCGCTATTTTCAGGAGCCAACCGAAATAACGCCATCATGTCGAGTACGGCGAGCTACAAGCAGCGAAAAGAGGACTTCGTGTCCAATTTGACGGGAGGCTCCGTCTCGGAGATCGGCTATGTGACGGCCGTCGCGCCCGTGAGTTTTGCATCGTCTGCTTTGCGCTGCTTAGGGACTCTGTAGATGCTAACTCGTGAGCCCAGGCAGCGGTTCTTCTGTGGTCTGTTCTTCAGGCCCGACAGTCCTTCTTCAAGCCGTACTCAGTCCTTGGGTTTGTCGTCGACTTCTCACTCACTGTTGGCACTTTCCTGCTGGCCACTACCCTTTATTCCGACTCACCAGTCTTGTTGAATCTGCTTCTGCTTGCGCCGGCCTTTTTGATATGGCTCCTCCCTTCATCCACCACGGGTTCAAAGAAAAGGCCCAGGCTTCCGCCAAATGCCCAGTCCAAGGTCGCCTCGGGGCCCCTTGCGGCTCTTAGCATAAAGCCCTTTCTCACGACTTATCGCGGATACATGATGATCACCACCGTTGTTGCAATCCTTGCCGTGGACTTCCGGCTCTTCCCACGACGGTTTGCCAAGGTGGAAACCTGGGGCACGTCGCTCATGGACATGGGCGTTGGCTCGTTTGTCTTCTCAGCCGGCATTGTTGCCGCTCGTCCGGTTCTCAAAGAGAGAGCCTCGGGCTGCCGAGTCTCGCTGGTCACTCGCCTATTGCAGTCGATCCGCCATTCCATCCCGCTGCTGGTTCTCGGCTTCATTCGCCTTCTCAGCGTCAAGGGGCTTGAGTACGCCGAGCACGTCTCGGAATATGGCGTCCACTGGAACTTCTTCTTCACCCTGGGCTTTCTTCCCCCTTTTGTGGCCATCTTTCAGGCCATCTTTGATATTATTCCCTCACATGCTGCACTGGCTCTACTCCTTGTGGGAACGTACCAAGCTCTGCTTGAGAATACGGATCTCAAGGCATTTGTTCTCACCGCTCCAAGAGTAGATCTCATCTCCATGAACCGGGAGGGCATCTTTAGCTTCATAGGCTATCTCGCCATCTTTCTTGCCGGACAGGATCTCGGCAAATTCATTATTCCTCGGAGCATCACATCAAGCAGCAACTCAACCGCGGGCATGCAAAGAAACACGCTTCTCATGACGATTGCAGTCTGGGCCGGAATCTGGACCGTGCTGTACACCATTGTCACTAGCTACAACTTTGGGCTTGGATTAACCGTCTCGCGTCGGCTGGCCAACCTGCCCTATGTCCTTTGGGTAGCGGCGTTCAACTGCTGGCAGATTCTAGCTTTCTGTGTCATTGACACCATCTTCTTCCCCGCATTTTACAATGCCGCGGACGCGCGATCTGAAAAAGAAGCCTATGAAGCGTCCACGAGCTTTGTGTTGAAGGCATATAATCGCAACGGCCTGGCCGTGTTCCTCATTGCCAACTTGCTGACAGGTTTGGTCAATATGACTGTCCCAACATTGGACGCAACACCTGTTGTGGCCATGGGAGTTCTCTTGGCTTACACGGCAACCGTCACAGGCGTTGCGGTGCTGCTAGATATCTACGACATCTCGATCAAGCTATAAAGGTCGCAAGAAGAGCAGTAACATTACAAAAGAAGAACAAAGCAAGATGACAGATGCGGTCACCAGCGCACATTTTGTCGATGCCATGCCCATATCGGTCGTTTGCTAGTGTGATTCAGGGACGGGATGCAACGCTCTTGTACCCAACGGATGATCTGTTCACCCCTGGGCGCTTCCATGACCGTACAGGAAAGAATCCAAGACACAATGAAAGGAAGCCTCCCTTGAAAAGAAACCAAAGGCATTGTTATTGTCTACATTGGGAATAGACAAGGATCTGTCGATGCCCTGATTGGGTGGGAGTGCCCTTGAAGCCAAAGATTTTCATGCAAGACACCCGCGAGATGGTGAGATGGCAAACTTGGCGCGCTAGATGGATTTGGACGGGTATCTACCTATTAGTATCTAGTCAGGCGATCTTATTTGTGTGCACAGATGCCAATCGAAGATTTAATATCATGGGTTATCCACCATCTCACCTGCGGAACCGTAATAAATGCGTGCTACCATTACTCGTTATGACCGACGCTCCGTACTCGTAGTAGTGATTTGCTAATGCCTCTAGCTCACCGAACCGGCGCCTTTTGTGCTCGGTGTCTACTCCGTAATCCACTACGAGCGAAAGGTAGTTAAGATGAAGCTATTTTAACTCGACCAAGCCAAGTCGCTCATTTCCGGCCTCAATGCGATGAACAAAGGAGCGCCGCAAACAATGCGGTGGATCAACGAAAGCGCACCGGATCCTTTTTATGTACAAGTACTTTTGCTAGCGTTGCATCAGACAGGAGAAAAGAAAACCTAGGAAAATAGAAGAAGCCGCACGGAAGAAGAGAGTGTTTCATGAGCATTATTGCAACGAAACATTGTTTTACGAGAAAGAGAGCACATGTGGAAATTGGGGATGTGCCACCAGGTTTCACGATGGGTGAGGTTGTCTCGGGTCCGCTTCGCAAAGGGGAAAAGCGGGACATTTGGCTCGTATGTTGTGGCCCGAACTTGGATGGTGCTGAAGGCGAAGAAAGGATAATAATAGCACCTTGGACAGATCGAGTAGGTGAGCATGTCGTGTGGCGTGGGCCAGAGCAATAAGGTTTCAATGCTTCATGCTGGGTTGAAATAATAGGGTAGCCGCATGTAAACAAAAACAACAGGGGTAACATCGGTCATGCAGGTACAGAAACTGTAATGATGGGGAATTGGACTAATTGGACATGATGCGAGTCACACGAGACGGCTGCTATTGGGCCGGAGGGATAGGCTGAGACAATGTATTAAGCTTTATCATGTTTCTTTTTCCTCTTCTTGGTTGTCTGGTGACAAGCCGATATGGGCATGTCCTGCATGTTCCAGATATCATTGTGCATAAAAGTATTGCTCTAGATGTACGATTCATCCAATAAGCACCTTTGGCAATACTCACATGCACAATTGCAAATCGACGTGATGCAATTTGAGCCCGATAGGCCGAATTTCACCTCATCGGCCGCAAATCAACGACCGCCTCGGGACGGGACAAGAGCAAATCATATGATTGTGCGTGGCGAGATTGGTGCAAGACGTGCAAACCCGCCCATGATTTCGGCATGGTTCTAAAGCGCGCAGCATCGCAATCTCACAGCCGGGATCGAGATTGGTGCTTCGTACTAGCCGCCCGCATTTCCTCCCAGCGCAACTTGCCGGGGGGGTGGTGGTTTTGCGCAGGAAGCGAGGGAGAGAGCGAGGCGACAGCGCGATTCAAGCTCCGTCTCCGTGTCTCTGTATGCGCGTGTTGCGAGTGATATTACAGTACAATTGAAAAGCACAGGCGGGATCCCTTCATCTCTGGCTCCCTGTTGCTGCTCAATGACAGGCGCAAGCGAGCGAGCGAGCGAGCACAAGTCTCCATCGTCGTCTTTGTTTGTTTATTTGTTTGTTTGTTGTTTGTCACTGTACGAAATATGGATGCTACTACCAGTTAGACCTATACCTTAGTATTCCGTACTCGTACCTAATAGTATGCGGGAAGAGGGCTGCATGGATCCCACGGTTGCGCTAATACGGGGCCACCCCTTGCGTCGAGGCCAAAGCAGTTGAGGTGTTTGCGGCGTCACCGAAGGATAATGGAAATCCATATTATCCAGGTAGTAGTAGCAGTAAGCAAGGGACGGGAAGAGTAGGTACTAGGCAGTAGGTAATGGTGGCGATGATGATGTCGTGGGCTGGGCATTGCTGACTTTTGGGGCCATTCTGTCTGTTCCCGTTTCCAATTGCTTAACTGATATGCTATTTCTTGGATCAAGTGCACAAATGATTCATTGCTCGTCGACTGCTGACTGGTAAGATGACGGTAGTTAATTCCATTGACCGCCTGGCCTGTTATTTGCCTCCTCGGCATCGATGCTTTCTTTGTACGAGTAGTGTCGGTACTCGTACTCGTAGTGCCAGCCAGCTGCAGTAATGCAAATCAGCGCTGTTACAGCGACCCAGCCTTCCCTTTTTTCCCTCTCTCTCCCCTTCAATGCCGGCAGGGTTCGCTGCTGCTGCGTGAGAGCTAATTTGGGCGAGGTTCCATCTCAGCATCCGCATCGTGACGCTCCCGCCCAGCCAGTCAATCATGCATGCTGCTTGTAAAATGTACTAGTACATGCATGCAGGAACGACGTGGGCCCCCCTGAAATCTACCTAGCGCGTTTCGGCTGGGCTAGATACCTCGACCGTCGCTGCCAGATGAGCGCGGCAGCAGGTATCTCGACCACGATGCGCAGCCTTCACTTGAGACGGATGGACGATGGAAAGGCGTCGAGCAGAGGCGCTGAGTACGGGCATTGACCTGGCGAAATGTACCGGTACGGGCAGCCGCAACAAAGGCCCACTGAGCTGCCGCGGGTCCAGCGGTTGTGCGTTTCTTGTCCACGGGTCTCAATCTCGTGCTGCGCTATCAATTTCGCGAAGCTGGTCCTTGAGCCCTTGGCCATCCACTCTTGCGGTTTTGACAGCTTGACTTCGGCCGCCCTTTGCTGAGCCGCCTCCAATCTCCTTTGGCTGGCCGCACGCACGGTAGTGTAAATAGTCCAAGGCGCGGGTGGTCTTACTTTTGTGGCACAACCGCAAGATTAGCTGTGCCCGTGTGTGTGTGTGCGTGCTGCTGGCTGGCCCGGCTGTGGTTTTTTGTTTTGATTTGTTTTGGGGGTGGCCTGGATTTCAGTATTATTAGAATTGGCTCAATTGGATTCAATTTAGATTTTCATTTGGATCTGGCGGCGCCCTCTTTGTCTTCTGTTGACATTGGCATCAATCAACTGAAGCTGTACCTGTACCTCGAGCTTTCAATACTACAGGTGCTTCACCGGCAGCTGCAGTGGCGGCGAACCTCGTCAGATTGATCAGCTCAGCTCAGCTCAGCTCAGCCCGGGCCTCAAGTCGCTAAAGCTACAGCACCTACCGGACTCGTACAGTGCAGTGCTGGACTGCTGTAGCAAAAACTCCAAAACACCTTCGCCTTGATCAATCTCTCCAGCTCCATTTCATCGGCAGCAGAGACGGGGACAATCAAGGACCAAACAGGCACCCAATCCGAGCTCATCCTGCCCTACTGCTACACTACTCTGCACAACCCTGTCAGCTCCCCCCTTGGCCCTGCGCGCGTCCGAACGGCCTGCCCACTCAGGGGACTCGCTTTTCTGCCATCTGCTGGACCACGACGTTCGTCTGTGAAACAACAGCCAGAAGAAGGAAAAAAGAAGCCCCCAAGTCGTCTTCGCCGTCGTCGAAACGGGCCATGAAATAGTGCACAATTGCTTCGTTGGCCACTCCTCACTCCCGCGAGCCTGCTTTGCTTTGTCCTGGTCCTTGTCTTCAATTTCTTTGGCCCGCCCTTTTTTTTTCTCTAGCACGGCACCTCGTTGATTAGTAGCCGCCGTCTGGCTCTTGACCCGTTTTCACTCTCCGATCCTCCTCTCTAATTCAACACCATCCAGCCGCTACTGCTGCTGAGGCTCAAGCGTCCGCTGCTTGCTCTTGCAAGGTTGCATGCCGCTGGACCGTCTTTTTTTCTTTTCTTTTTACTGACGAGAGAGTTCAAGATTGTTTCATCGGCCGTCTCCAATCGTTAATACACGGCCTTGATCCGTCGCCCGTCTCTCAGACTCCAAAAACATTGACAACGGCATCACAACGAGGCAACGCCGTGTTTTCTCATCTCAGCTGCTCTCTCGCCGTCTCCGCAGCGAGCCGTCGAACTGACCCCTAGTGGGCCGGCCATCACGCGTAGCAACGCGGAAGGATGTCGTCGGCTGCTCTCCAAACGGCCCCTCCTCACCAGCCAACCGCGTTGTCGTCTTCTCTGCCATCCGCCAACCGCCAATACACGCAGACGCACTCTTCCCCCAATCGGGAAATCCACAATGCCCAGAGCGCATCAACACCACCATCGTCAAGGCGTCCTCCCTCTCGCAAGTCCAGCGGCCCAGGCGCCGCCGTTGCATCCGACACCAGCGCTCCAGTAAACTCCCGCATTCCCACCAGCGCGACTCGTGCGGCCGACCAGCACTCGAGGGCTGACCGCCTGTCGACTGCGCCCATCGCCCCTCCACGAACCTCGTCCAACAATCCCGCCCACTCGAGCGACAAGATGAACAATTCACCGCGCCGTGGGCAGGCTGATGGCTCGCGGATCGCCTCTCGCGGTGACACAAACGGCGCTGCCGACCCGGCCAGGAGCAAGAGGGCCCAGAGTTACCACATGCCGCAGGATTCGGTCTCAGCCCAGCCCACCAGCACTCGAGGCAGCCATGCCGCCGAAGCTCATTCTTCCATCCCCGTCCCTATCCGCACTCATCAGACAACAACAAACTCCAAACCCTCGCGTGAGGCTAGCGAAAGCCTGCACCGGGTGATTTCCAACGGCGAAGAGGCAAACGGTCGAAGCGCTGCCTATCACAACTCGACCCACGACGACGACCCAGCGGCACCCCCTCCCGTTGTATCCATGAATGCTGGCTCCGAGGAGCGACGAGGCGGTCGAAGTCGACACGACCACAGTCGCAACAACAAGGCAACCACCAAGTTTGGCGAGTTTATCCTAGGAAATACCATTGGCGAGGGAGAATTCGGCAAAGTAAAGCTTGGATGGAAGCAGGATAGCAATGTGCAGGTGAGTTTGCCCGCTCCCATCACCGGCAGTACCTGGCAGGGACAGCCTTTGGGAACTGATGCTAACGAGATATACAGGTTGCCATCAAACTCATCAAAAGAGATACTGTTGGCCATAACCCGTCGCGGTTGGCCAAGATTAAGCGCGAAGTTACCATTCTCCGCGGCATCCACCACCCAAACATTGTGCGATTGATAGACATGGTTGAAACCGATAGATACATTGGCATTATTCTCGAGTATGCATCTGGAGGCGAGCTCTTTGACTACATTTTGAACCATCGTTATTTGAAAGATAATTCGGCGCGCCGTCTCTTCTCTCAGTTAGTCTCTGGAGTTGGCTACCTCCACAAGAAGGGCATCGTTCATCGTGACCTCAAACTGGAAAACTTGCTCCTGGATCGCAACCGAAACATCATCATCACTGACTTTGGCTTTGCCAACACATTTGACCCCCACGATGAGTTGACAGAGGAGGAGGAGCTTAATCTGTCGGATCGCGAGTATGTCAAGAGGCTGGGCATAGACAAGGTGAAGCCCAACGGCATGCGCAAGGGCGATTTGATGCAGACGAGCTGCGGAAGCCCTTGTTATGCCGCGCCCGAGCTCGTGGTGAGCGATTCGTTGTATACCGGAAGAAAAGTTGATGTGTGGAGCTGTGGTGTCATTTTGGTAAGTGAGAAATGCAATTCTCTTTTAAAACTCAGGCTGCTAACGACTCTGTGAACAAAACAGTACGCCATGCTTGCTGGCTACCTGCCATTCGACGACGATCCTGCTAACCCAGAAGGCGATAATATCAACCTTCTGTACAAGTACATCGTCACGACGCCACTGACATTCCCCGAATACGTGACACCTCATGCTCGAGACCTCCTGAGGCGAATTCTCGTGCCAAACCCGAGAAAGCGAGCTGACTTGTTCGAGGTTGCTCGCCACAGTTGGCTGAGCGAATATGCCCACGTTGTCGAGTTCATCACAAGCTCGACTACTTCGCCATCCGAAGTCCAAAGCGTCAGCGCCACAGGCTCAGACTATGCAGAGGCCCCTATGGTTACGAGGAGCGCCTCTGTTCGCGAGGCACCAAAGCAAAAGTCTCCCCAGCCCGCTGTCGTTGGTGGTCTCGCAAAGACACACGGCAAGATCGATTCTCCCACCGAACCTACCCAGCGCACATCCAAGGACGCCAAGCGCCGCACCGTCCAGGTCGAGTACGTTGCGCCTGTCACTCAGACACAACGAGGTGGTACCGAAGAAGTGTCCAGGCACCAGGCTCGGCCGACTTCTCGGCATCACCACGAGCCGGCCCTGGAAGATTTGTCGCTGGACGACAGGAACCTGGCACGACCACAGTCCAAGAGAGGGCCAGCTACGGGACAAACAAGCGGAATCCCTCAGCCAACTCGCCCTGTGCGGGACGTTCGCGCGACTTCCGACCACACGTATGCCGTTGGTGTTCCTGTGGCGACCGCTCGTCCCCGTACTGGCAACTCTATGCAGTCTGCCACTTCTCTTGGCTTACAGTCTGGAGGCAATTATGGCCAACCTGTCCCCCCCACCATTGCAGATACCAATGTTCAAGGCCGTATTCAGCAACCTTCTAATGCTGCCGAGGATGATGCTCTAGGGCGAACCAGCACCAACGTTCCCCCCAAGTTTGCGAGGATGTCAGGCTTTAACGAGCCTAAGAGCAGTGATGGAAAGGGACACAAGAGGTCCAACACGATAGGAGAAATCGGCTCCAAGCTTTTGGGTCGCAGTGGATCGATGTTTGGACGCAAAGGAAAGAAGTCGGAGCAGTCGGCCGAAAAGGCCAAAAAGTATCCTCCCATCAGCATGGCCAATACGGGCATGGCTGCGGGAGATGAGCCTCGCTCGCGGCCTTCGATAGACTCAAAGGCATCTCGCCGGTCCTTTACTCTTGGCCTTGGAAAGAAGGCGAGTGGCAGCATCAACGGCTCCCAAGACTCCATCGACAAAAAGGAGCGCCGCCGCTTCTCGCTTCTTCCCGCATCCTTCTCTCTCAAGTCCCTTAGCGCTCCTAAGGATTACGGAAGTGCCCACCCCTCTGAGCAAGACTTGCCCATTCAAAACCCTCGCACTGCTGACCTAGGACGAATCGTCACTACCCACGGAGGCAGCACACCTTTCTTCGACAACGGCTACGATGGCCAGCAGCCAGATATGGTCGTATCTACCCCGCCTGTTCAGAACCAGAATCACAACCTAGCCCCAGCAGACAGGCGACCAAATGCGATCCCACAATACATGCAGCAAGGTGCACACCTCAACAGTGCCTCTGAGACCTCGGTTGACATGCGCCAACCTCCTGCGGGGGCTCGGCAGGGACCATACCAGTACGGATATACTCAATCTGAAGGCTTTGATGGGCGAGCAATTGGTACTGGCCGAGGAGTGCTGCAGAAGAGCCATAAGCGATTTACGGACGCCTACGACCAGGGAGACTACCGAGGCCATGAGGGAAGCAGTGGAGCTGCTAAGCGTGTCATGGACTTTTTCAGGAGACGAGGCAAAGCCCGAGGTGGAGATGATCGATAACGGATGTGCCTGAGAAGCAAAAGGCAAAATAATTTACGAATTCACGCCGGAGCAAACCAGAAGTTCCGGTTAATCTCGTCACTTTCTGGTAGTTTCGGCTCCATGGATTCGACTGGGCACGATTTGGTAGCCTTGTCATTATCTTTTTTCATTTCCATACAGGAGGCATCGCCGTATTTTGCCAACATCAAGTTGTAATCATCAAGCGCGCAAATCAGATATCATTCAGCCTATTTAATAACCCCCGTTTACGAAATCTGGTCAAAGTAGTTTCTGCCCATTACGGCCCGCTACTGCTACGCTAGATGGGGAGTCAGGGCATGCCTTATATGGCAATTTTTTTTTTCTCTATTTTTTTCTCGTCTTTCCTTTGTATTGTATTTCGTCTAGCATGATCTTGCAAGTCGTATATTGCCCTCATGTGGTGGCTGTTATGAAGCAAATACACACAGACGCCTCGACTAGATCTGGGAGTGGGATTTCGTGATGTGGTATCAGAAAGACCGGGGTACATTTTTTTTTTTTCTTCTTCTCATTTCTCTTTTCTTTCAAAACTGGTAGAAAGCTGATCCAGTGTGTCGGGATTGTTGTTCGGTATACCTGAGTTGTTGTGTATTTGTAACTTTTTTCTTGTCTTTTCTTATGTGTTGGGCATTTGGCAGGACATTGAGCGGAGTCCATTTATGACAAGGCTGTGCGCGCATTTAGGTGGAAAGAAGTGTGTTTTTTTTTTTCGAAGGAAGCAGAAAGAAGAATATGAGGATTTTTTTTTTTTCGTGCGCGAGATGAAATTTTGATTGGTCTTGCTACCTAATACGTGATGGCCATTGTAAAATATGGCGTTTATAGAATCTCCATTCACCTGTTGCGTTGGGATGTTGTATTAGGTGGGGATGCTGTGATGCGCATTTACGCAATTGTAATACTATCTTTGGCACTTTAGTATGCATTGTTTAACATATGTCTGACTCTGCTATTATAAGTACCGATATATATGTGAAGTATATAATAGATGCATTCGACGGATAAGAGATGCCGAGTCCTCTGTTTCACTACTGCTCTCACCGGGAGTGAGGATCCGAGACCGCATGCATTCCGCGTTCAAAGACATCACCGGCTTCACCTCCCGTTTCACGGCATTCGCGCGGTGTCTATCAAGTACGTCATCGGGCGGGCCATCTTAGAAGGGACCCTAAAAATCCAAAAGATCTGAATAGATGAGGAAATTGGATTTTAGATTCACCGAGGTGCTACAACTGGGGGCGGCGGGAGGCCTAAAAGAAGGCAAAACGTCATAAGTGATTTTGCAAACTTGAGAGAATCATGACAACATGAAGTGTGGCTGAAGCTTTGCCAAGACTTGCGTTGATTGGAAGATTACACGTAACGGAGCTTGTTGTGGCGAAGCTGGGTGACCAGGGGGGGTTGGTTAAAGCCGTTTGTGCATGGGCGGGTTTATTGCCGGGGGGCACGTGTTTTTCTATGCTTTTGGCTCGCATGGAATTGCCCGCTTTGGGGAACGAAAGGTGTGTGCTTTTTGGGTTTATACCGAGGCGGGGAATTCGCGATATTGATTCGGGGGAACGAGAGGGATGGGGTGACGGAGGTTTATTTTCCGGGCGTGACGCGTAACCTTTTGAGAATGAAGGTATCCGTACTGCACGCGTAGCTCTCTGAAGGGCAGTGTTCAAGGTTGTATGGATTGTATTCAGGGGGGATTTCAGAGGACCCTTTTTGAAGGCGTGGGTCGGTTTTGTTGTGATACCTGCTCGAACGGATCAAGTAAGCTTGAACGGGTTCTATTTGTGTGGGGATGGGCTGACATGGGGAGAGTCGCGCTGTAGGCCAAGTGAGTTGAGTCCGTGGTAGTTGGAAGATTCCAAAAGATTCGGCGGTTTGCATAGGGGTAATTGTCTTGTCTATTCAATTCTGTTTGAGTCTAGAATACTTGATGTGCTCGTATTTTGTAGTACCTAATTCATAGCATGGTACCTATAAGGCATGTTTGGTGGTGCATCTGTTCTGAGCCCCTGTCGCGGATTGGTCTGTCTCGGGAATCGGCTTTGTTGTGCAAGGGCTCAATGGATTTTTTGTTTCAATACAGGTCCAATGTGTTACCGCAGCTTTGTATGGGTGCTCGCACAAACATGACGCTATGCGAGCATCAATTGGGCTGCTGATTGCGGAAGAGGATGCGTAAGGTATGGATTCGTTCAATGACTCTTTTGATTAGTAGACACGCCATCTTGTAGGTGCCGACACGCGCCCTGTATTGCTGTTCTGGGTTGCTCAATGTTAGCGCATTACAGCGGGCTCTCTATGATGTAGCTCCGACGCCTGAGGACGGGCAGTGATTGGGCGCTGCGGTGGAACTCAACAAGCCCACCGCCTTGCTTTCTCCACTAAGCTTAAAAACCAAGATAGGGATCACCCAGCAGGTACGAGTACCTTGTGGCACGTTTGCTGGTATCTGCTAGCAACACAACTGTAGTATTGAGGTAACATTCAAGTTGGTGATGGCAGACTTTGACGAGCTTGTTGGTGTTGGTAGCATCAATTGGTACTTAGTAGGTGGCAAGTGGACTTTCATAATACTACAGTACTACTAACCTAGGTACCAACACTATTGTTGTCTCGAGTGGCGCAAACATGCAATTTAGTGGCCAAAAGCCGGCGGTTAGGCCGTGATTAGGTACTGGGGATACCTGTCGAGTCTAGCTGGGGAATCCGGCACGCAGCTATCAATCGTGGCGCCTCTCCCCCTGTCCACCAAGCGTCATCCACATTCCCCGTTTATCTCACACTTCAGTCACAGCCCGCCTCTTTTCAAGCTTAAAAGGGATCCTGCTTTCCCTCCTCTCTCCTCCAAGGTTTACTTCTATCTTCCTCTCATTTACACTTTTGGGTTTCTATCCCACTTCTTTTCTCTTCAGCTATTCCGCTTGCTTGATTGCTTGCTTGCCCTTCTCTGCTTTCAATACCTACCTGTTCGATGAAGGAAGCCTCATCCGACCCCGATATAGCTACCAAAGGCTCTGATGTACAGCCCGTAGCTTATGGACTCTCCGATCGGCCGGATACTGAGCTTCGCGACCTGCCGCCTTTGAACGAGCACGTCGCCGCAACTGCTACAACTGCTACAACCGCACCAACCACCAATCCAAAAAACCAGACCTCCAACAGCCGCAATGGCGTCGCCGTGTCTCCCCTCAGCACTGATGCTCCCAGCGTCTTCACCGAGAAGCCAGACTCCCGCTTCCTCAAGCCGGCATCTGCCCAGAAGCTCTCGTCAGCGCCATCCTCGCAGGATGAGAGGCAGGGGTCTATCTTAGGGACTAAGGAAGCAAAAGCCAACACCTCTACCCCCGAAACTACAAGTTCCGACAACGACAACGACAACGACAACGGTAGTGTCAAGAAGAAGCGTACCTTTGTCGAGGAATTCCGTAGAACTTTCTGGCTGGTCCTTACTCACAGCTGGTTCAATGTCTTGCTGGTCTTTGTGCCTCTTGGCATCATTCTCGCCAACATCAAGGGCGTTAATAGTGGCGTCATCTTCGCCATGAACTGTATTGCCGTGATTCCCCTCGCTGGCCTTCTCAGCTTTGCGACCGAGTCGGTGGCCCGTAAGATGGGCGACGCCCTCGGCGCCTTGCTTAATGTGACGTTTGGAAACGCCGTGGAATTAATCATCTTCATCATTGCCCTGGTCAAGAATGAAATCCGTATCGTCCAAGCTTCTCTACTAGGTTCCATCCTAGCCAACCTGCTCCTCATTTTGGGCATGGGCTTCTTCCTCGGCGGACTTCGCTTCCGAGAGCAAGTCTACAACAGCACCGTGACCCAGATGAGTGCCTGTCTCCTCAGTTTGAGTGTCATCAGTTTGGTCTTGCCTGTATGTTCCCATTTCAAAAGAGAACAACTTGTCTCTCTTTCAAACTCTCTCGCTAATTGGCTTCCAGACGGCTTTCCACGCCTCTTTTAACGATCCAAGCCTGGCTGACCGCGAATCGCTTAAAATCAGCCGCGGCACTAGTGTTGTAAGTTGAATCCCTTATTCACACGCTGCTTCCATCATTCTCTAACAAAAGACAGATTCTGTTGCTGGTCTACATCATCTATCTCCTATTCCAGCTGAAATCACACGCATACCTCTATGAGTCTACTCCGCAGAACATCGTCGATGCTGAGTCTGTTCCGGGTCCCGCCGCAGCTTGGTTAGACTCTTCAAGCTCGGATTCTAGCTCGTCTGATAGCTCGGATTCGGATGATTCCAGCCACTCTCGGGATACCGTTCGCCGTGCCATGAGAAAGGTCCTTCGCCATGGACGCAGAAGAAAGTCGTCCGTTGCCTCTGTGGAAACAAGCGACCTGCATCCTACTAGGACCTCGTCTTTTGGCACCACAACCACCAATCCTCAAGAAGAGTCTTCAGAAACTTCATCTTCCCGTCCGCAATTCCCCAGACTTGGGTCTACCGAGACCAACGAAGAGGCTGTTGAGGACGAAGAGAGATCTCATCACAAGCGTAGAAGGCCCAGTATTCGACACATGCGCAAGAAATACAAAAAGAACCGTCGTCACCACCGCCATCGTGATGCAGACGGCGATGCTCAGCAGGCAATCACTGAACAACCTGAACAGAATTCGCAGAATCATCACGGAGACGGAGAGCCTCGCCGTGTCGACTTTGCTATCCCCAACGATACAGTTGCAGATAGCGGCAATGAGACATCCAAACGGCCATTCCCTGCTCTACGCACCATGTCTGTGAAGAACCTGGCGCCTACGGTCTTTGTCCAAAAGCCCGAGCTGGATGTTCTGTCTGCCGCCCCCGCTGGTCCTGTTCCCCGTGTTCGTTACGGTATTCGACGCACCAACTCCCTACCTGATAGGCTCAACCATCAGATTCGACCTCCCGGCGCCATGTTGCCAGCTCAAGTGCCCTTGACCGCCTTGACGGCCGGTGCTGAAGGGGAGGAAGAGGAAGAACACCTCACTCAGACAGCAGCCATTATTCTTCTACTTCTTACGACCGGTCTTGTCGCAGCATGTGCTGAATTTCTCATTGGCTCTATCGAGGACGTCGTCGCCACGTCGAGCGTCGGCGAAATCTTTATTGGTCTCATTGTCCTGCCTATTGTGGGTAATGCGGCGGAGCACGTCACTGCCGTGACTGTGGCGATGAAGAACAAGATGGATCTGGCCATTGGTGTTGCTATTGGCAGCTCCATTCAGATTGCCATCTTTGTCACGCCCTTGGTCGTTATTCTGGGCTGGATCATGGACAAGGAGATGACACTGTACTTTACCCTCTTTGAGACTGTGTGTCTCTTTGTGTCGACCTTTATGGTCAACTTCCTTGTTTTGGACGGCCGAAGCAACTATCTCGAAGGAGCTCTGCTTTGCGCAGTCTACTGCATTATTGGCGTTGTCGCCTTCTTCTACCCGGCCGAGGCCGATGCAAACTCGTGGGGCAGCTAGTCACTGCGCCGGCGAGAATAGCTATTGGCTAGTTCTCTTCAATAAGGCTTCTTCTTTTTGCTCCGCCCTATGAGGTGGAGTAGAGCCATGGGTGAGATGGCTTTGAGAGCAGGCTGGAGAGCGCTTGGCAGGAAGTATATTAGCATATCTTAGTACAATCGTGTCAGCGTTGGCTTTGTACATTGTACATCCATACGCACGCCTTGGTAATATACGGCGTATTTGCGCAATTTTTTAGTTTCCCATTGTGAAGTGCAATACATGATGACGCGTAAAGTGTAATAATCCACTGGCTGGGCTGTGCAAAGAAGTATTCCAAATGTTGTTTTGTGAGGCCACCCACGACGGTCTTTGTCGTCAGGTGTTTCCGTGTACTGTCCATAGAATTAAACCCACTAATTAAGCAGCAGAATTAGCGCACCGGGGTCTGCCAGAAAGGGCTAAGAGCAGGGGCCTTTCGGAAGCAGCACAGCCACATGAGAGAGACGTCACGAACAACTTTAATTGCCCTCCGCTCTCGCCTTTGTTTAGCTGTTCTCTGCTAGTTTCATCTCCCTCCATTACTCTCCTCTTAAGATTCTTTTCTGAGCGTGATATTCACTCATCCCATTTCTCCCTTCTTACTGTGACAAGCCGGCTACAAAGAAGCAGAGAGGAATTTGACCAAGGTAGCTAGCTGGAGCGCGTCGCCTCCTTTTCCATCCTCTAGTGAAACAACACAGACAAACGGACGTCAGCAATGTGTTTTGGCGGTCAGAACGAGAGGACCGATGATCCTCCACCCAGGCCGGTGCAGAACCTAGATGGGAGGCCAGATGGGAAAACGAGTCGGTATAGTGCGCCGCCGAATGCATTGGCTGGCGGGCCTTCGGGATATCAGAGCCAGGGCCAACCACAGTATCAGCAGCAATATCAGCAACAACAACATCAATATGAGGAATTCGCTCCTCCTCCAGGCCCGCCTCCTGGGAAACGACAACAGGAAGAATATGCGCCGCCTGCTGGACCGCCTCCAGGGCGTCAGCAGCAGCAGCAGCAGCAGCAGCAGCATAGTGATTATGCTCCTCCACCAGGGCCACCGCCTTCGCATCAGCACAACGACTATGCTCCTCCTCCTGGACCGCCTCCATCTCATCAGCATAATGACTATGCCCCTCCTCCGGGGCCTCCTCCTTCTCATCAGCAGGGAGATTATGCGCCGCCTCCAGGACCGCCACCGTCTGCTGCGAAGGGCGACTGGATTGCACCTCCATCAGATCCCTTTGCTTCCCAGTCTAGCGCGGCACACGACTGGCAGGCCGCCGTCCCGGATACTTCTCTGTTCCCGCCGCCTCCCCCGTTGTTCAGCGGCCATGACGCGTCATATGCCAACAACGCGACTGAGGCAGAGGCAGAGGCTGGTGAGGCGTGGTGCCGACAGTATCCGCTGTCCACGCCGCCCATGACGCTCGATCAGCCGGGCAAGCATGCTCTGCAGTCCAACAATATCCGGCTCATGGAACCATCGGACTTTCGTGGCACCTTGAAATGGATTGCGCCGGGCCACTGGGAGGGTAACACGGTCAAGGACAGCCCCGACCGCTGCATCATCGGCTATCCTCCTCTCTATGTAGTTAATGAGCACGACCCGTCTATTACGAATCAGCCAAAGACCATTTACTACGAGGTAAAGATTAAAAGGGACAGCCGCACCATCAATCTGGCTTTGGGATTCACTGCCCTTCCCTACCCGTCTTTCCGCCTTCCTGGATGGCATCGTGGCAGTCTGGCTGTCCATGGAGATGACGGCCACAAGTACATCAACGACCGCTGGGGAGGCAAAGACTTTACGCATGAGTATCGCAAAGGTGAGACGTACGGCATTGGCATGACGTTTACCCCGACGGGCACGCACCACCCTCGTGTCGATATTTTCTTTACGAGAAACGGCCAGCGGTCTGGCGGGTGGCATCTCCACGAGGAGACGGACGCGGAGCAGGATTTACCGGTGACGGGACTGGAGGGGTTTCACGACTTGAGCTGCGCAATTGGAGCGTTTGATGCGACGAGCTTTGAGGTTGTGTTTGACCCGGCCAAGTGGCTGTACAAGGAGGCTAAATTTGACCTCTGAGGCTGTGGTTGGATGATGTCTGGGGTTGTGATGCTGGATGGGTTGGGATAGACGTATTATGAGACTGGTAATGGTGGGACTGTGGTAATGACTATTGGGGACTGCTATAGGGATAGATGAATTCGTGATGATGGCTGAGGATTTGATCAGCTCTTAATACAGCTCTTGATAGATGCATGGATGTTATGGAAATTATTTGGTAGGCTTTTGGCCTTGGCTTTATCTTTGTGAAAGTTGAGCTACGTAAGGTTCTTATGCGGCCTTGAATCCAATGAATGGATTTACCATCCCAAGAGTCATTTCATCTCATGGTTTGAGATGAAACTCAACGGTATTACGTCGACGGCTAAAGTGGAGGCTAAGAGCAGTGCTATCTGACAGATATTGGCCGGGAGCGAATGATGGGCAATACTGAAAGCTGATTAGAAGAAGATGCCCGTACGTTGGCCTCTATTCGTGATGTTGGTCTTGTGTATTACAAGTGGCAACTCTATGGTGCCTAGAGGCTCGCATTGGCATGGAATAGTTTGATAGATCGGGACAAGGTACATTATACAAATGTCACTAAATCTCGTAAAACGAAGACTCTAGCGCTGAAAGACGAGAAGAAGTGGAGTGCTAACAAAATGAAAAGTAACTCAGCGAGACGGGGGCCATCCGAAGGGCTTTAAGGGTTCAGATGGAGTATGTTCTGTTGCAGCTTCGTTGATGAGGCCAATGTAAGGTGATGTCACAGATTATTTGAAGTCATTGAACACTGCTTAGGAAGGGGGATAACCTTCGCCATTTAAGACGTTATAAGCCTCCACGGTTTATATATGGCGTAAGTTTATGTTCTTATACGGGAGATGCATTACTTGCGGTGGTTAGATGTCTTATGGCTCTACTAGGTAGTAGCTGTAGATATGTCTAGTAGCTGTAGATGTCTCTAGTAGATGTAGGTAGCTCTAGTAAATGTGCCTAGGTAGCTCTAGCATATGGATAACTTATATATAGGTATTTGCCTACCCATGTAGGTAGGTAGGTACTTAAATGTTAATAGACTCCTTCCTAAGTCTAAGAGCACGGATCATCATTACAAAGGTAAATAGGACCTTGTATGGGTTATCTTCGCCATCTTCGCCATCTTCGCCATCTTCACCCCAAGCCATCACGTTGAAGCTTCGTATCTGTAGAGCTTCCACTTCAACGTCTCTAACTGATGAAGTATATTTACTGTGGTCTTGAGACGATGAAGCCTGTGTTCCTTCTTCGTGCGAGACAGGAGGGTCACTCCCAGACAAGTTTTGGCTCGCATCATCTCCATTACTTCTCCAAGGAGGAGAAGCGGCGGCGGCGGCAGCAGTAGCATGAATCGGGCTTGTTTCGGGGCTGGTAGAGGGATGGGGTCGCTTAGATGGAACTTGAGCGGACGATGTTGACAAGCTGGGCAGCTCATAGGGGTCATCTACACCGCCACCGTTGTATCCTGCCGTTTGAGAAGAGTCGGACATTTGAGAAGAGCCAGACATTTGAGAAGAGTCGAACATTTGAGAATCCTCCTCCTCCAGGCTAGTTTCAAGTCGCTGTGCCTGTACAGCACCATTTGTTCTGGAACGCAGTCCTCTCTGGTCAACCATTCGAGGGCTTGCCTCTTGGGCACCCACCACTTGCATCACCACCAGCTCCATGTTGGAAAGAATAAAGCCAAAGCGTGTGCCTAGGTTGACGCAATACTCTTGAAGCTGGCGTAAGAAGTCTTGATAGCACCCTCGTGTGTGAGCAATGGCGTATCTGTCGTCCCATTGTCGGACCAGCTTGGTATCTCCCACTGCAAGTATCCTGTTCTCCACCACAAGATCCTGAAGAGCCAGAAGCGAATCGGTCTCCATACCGGCACTAAAGTCGCCCTGAACAATTATCCAGTCCGGCAAGAGCCATTGCGCAGTGGCCTCGGCGGAGACGCTCTCAAAGGCCCCGGGTCCTACGAGAATGGTAATTCGTTCTTCTTCCGGCGGAATTGCCATGTCGAGGGCAATGTTGACCCGAGTGACGAGCGTCTGTAGATAGAGGGCCTCGAGCTGTCGCTCACTATAGATGACGCGTGCATACTCGGGAATATGGGGCTCCCACTTCACCTGGCATGGTCTTGAGAGACATGGTGCAATGGACGGATCCGAAGAAATGTGCCGAACGTCAAAATCCGACCACAACTCGACCGCTTCGGCCAGTGGTGCAAACCGACTATTGGCCGAATTGTACGTGTCTTGGGCATTTCCAGAGACAACGTCAGGACTGTTTACTGGGTCGAGGGGTTTCTGGAGTTTATTCGAATCCTTTACCCAGACAATATGGCCAAGTTCAACGGGCCCTATTAGCGGCTGGAGGAATTCTTCCACCGTTGTCATGATATCTAAGTAATGAGAAATAATCGTGCTTTTCGTAAAAAAGTATATGATGGAGTTAGAGTTGATGCTTTAGGCCATCTATCTACCTGATCTAGGTGGGTGTCTTGAGAGGGGAAGTACATGCAGTGGGCTTGGGTGTGACGAGCCAATAAACCAACATCAGGCTCTGGTCCTACAGCCTGATGGCAGAAGTAAGTGCACGAATGCCCAATCCAAGGCTGCGTCAACCCATCAGGCGTATATCATTTGAATAGAGAGTAAATCTCTAGCACCTCAAACTGGGCGATTATATTCCAAGTGCTTGTATATGTCGTGTCAACACAAGAGGTAGAACGCGCACATACTCCCATCTATCCAATACCGAACTGGGTAGGTAGGTTGTAGTTCTTCAGGAATGGCGATGAGAAGCGACGTCGATTGATCGGTTTTAGCTGTCTATCGAGGTTTTCGTTCTTTTATGTATATATTTCATTCATTTCAGACGGACACTGCACCGCTCTACCAGATTTTTCTCACTATTCGGAAATCATCGTTATGGTGTACATACTTGTAGAACGTAGATGTAGTATATTATACTTATACGTGGATCCGCATGGTTGCTGGCAGGGTTGTAAATTAGTTACTAAATTTTTGCTTACATAAAACACTAAAATTGTTAATAAAATTAACACTAATAATAAGAAGAATATAAAAAATATATTACTATATAAAGTATTTATTGCCATAATTAAATATTTTTTTAAAATATTTTTAAAAAAATCTAATAAAGAAATATATTAAAATACTAAAATTTTAGTATTTTAGTATTTTAGTATTTTAGTATTTTAGTATTCGTAAATTATTAACGATTATTAAATAATTAGTGGAGTAATAATAATAAAATTTATATTTTTATATATAAAATAATATAATTTATTTAATGAATTTTTTTATTTATTTTTATACTTAATATTGATTTTATTATGTAATTTTTTATAAATACTAAAACGAATACTAAAAAATACTAATTTACAACCCTGGTTGCTGGTGCCGTTCCAGCACGGTCATACCCTTGCCGCCACATCCTCACCACCTACACAAGCTTGGATTCGGATTTCGCCCAATCACAGAGGAGGGGAACTGTGGATTACCATGCCCTTTGTGGTGATCTATCCCTGCTAGTGGCATCAACACTCTTCGGAATCATGCAGATGAGCGCTGCACCTTTCCTAAAACGGGGTAGATATGTTGAATTTGGAATGACGAATGGTAGCCCCAAACATGCTGAAAGCCCAATTTTTCGGCACAATATGAGCAGTGATCGATATGCTACAAGTATGCGAAAACCAAGCTCAAAATGCTGGTTCCTCATGTAGATAGATTTATCTGCAATATGGGCTGTTCAAATTCCAAATGTCATGGAATGCTTATTGAGGAGATTTGGCGGAGCTGTACTACGTATAAGGGGCGGTGCAGGACTGTTTGCAGCCGTTCCAAGTGCCCTTTGACGGCTGTTATAGCGCTTTACCTACTGAACAAAGCACAGAACCTTATTACCCAGGGAGTCGATGACATAACGCGTCTGTATTACCTGGAAGCCTCAATACCGTTTCCTCCATCTTCAACTCCCTCCAGACAAAGCACTCGAGGCAAACGACCAGCCGAGCCACATCCGCACAGACAGAATGCAACAGCACCATGATTATTTCGCCATCCACAGCTAGGCTTCCTACCTGATTGCATTTTCCGCCTCGTCCACAGCCATGGCGAGTCCTCCACCGACGCTGTCCGCAACAGTGACAGACCCTCTCCCTGCACCCTTACCGGCCGTTCCACGTCGCGTGCAAGAGCTCAAAAATGGCTCTCGCAGAAAGCCGAAGACTCGCTCCAGAGAAACTACGTCCAAACATCCCCGTCGCAGCCGTCATTCTCGCTGGCGCGAAGAAATCATCTCCAACCTGGAAGATGACGAAACCTTTAACAACCACCTCGCCATCCTCAAGATTGTTCGTCGCCTCCCCGAGCTTGGACTCCACGCGCCTCAGCTTGTCAGCAACAACCCCGTTGCTCGAACCTACACCGTTAAATACCCGCCTCATCATTTAATCCACTTCGAGGCAGAAGCCCGCTACTTGCACCTCTCCTACAGAGAGATACAAGGCATCAAAAGCCAGCTCTACCGAGCTGTCAAAGCAATGTACACCAACGGGCTGAGATATAACATCCACCCTCATCGTCTTTATATGTACGGGTCTAGGACCTGGAACCTCAATCCTCAGCTGTTTCTCGGATCGGTGACTAGTTCCGATTTTATAGACACGGGACAGTTGGACTGGCAGGAGCAGAGAGGTCTTGTGTGCGCTCAAATCGACCGCATTTTCGCGTCCATCGAAATCTGGTCTTTCCAGGAAGAAGCTGCCCGTCTGACCAAATATGCTGGAAAAGAGATGGATCTGGCGACATCTACGATCAATGAGAAGAATCCCGTCATTGACGCGGCTAAGGCAGACTTGACAGAGGCACAGGCTATCATGGCAGAAGCATGTCAAATAATAAAGAATGCCTGTGCTGCAATGGATAGAGTTCAGACCATCTCCAAGGAGATGTATACCTCCGTTATCAGGCCGCAAATTGTCTGGGATCGAGCACATACCAGAAAGGAGGATGCAGAAACCTGCCTGAAAAAGACACAGGTTCTCAACGACAGAGCAAACGCTCTCGCCCAGAAGTACGGCAGTCCAAAACCGTACGATGGAGTAGGTGCAGGGGATACCACCTCGCATCCTGAACCCAAGCCGGAGGGCAATGTGGAGATGGAGAATGGCAGTGCATCTGCTAATGATGCCAAAGGATTGGAGGATCCACTACACAAGATGGAGTTGCAACTGATGGACTTAACCCGAGAGAAGACGGCAGCTTTTGGAACGTGAAAACCTAGGCTGGGATTGCCGTTAATTCCACAACCAAGGACACATCTCAAGGGGCTTTAGTCAATCAATCTTGACCCTTAACTAACCGTTGCAAGAGCAACAACCCGGTGGCACCCAAACCCCGCGAGTATTCATACCCTTTACCACAGTACCACTATGCCATCGCCATCCAAATACCACATGGCGAAGAACGAAGAGGAATACTATGGATACCAAGGTACGAACATGAAAGCATTCGATGATGAAACCCCTAGATTTACACCAGCCAAAATTGGTACCAATGTTGAAACCACAAAGAAAGGATCATCAATTCAGAGCCGCAAGGGTAATACTTGAATATCACTTGGCGGCATATATGCTATTTGTGCATTCATGGTTTGCTGTTTGAGGATATTGCTTACTTGTCAACTCCCCGCTGTGGAGTGTTTACGTCGATGATGCGTTTTCATCTTTTCATCCAGCGATGAGTGTACTAAGAGCACACCTATCCATACCGCCCTAAAAGAGGAGCACGTAGTTTTGAGAGAATAGCGTGATAGTTTTAGTAGCTATGGCTTGCAAATAGTCGCTTCGCCATCGGTAACATAAACTTGAATAAATTACGGATCTGCATTCTAAGCATATGGATCACTTGAGAACTTCCAACGCATCATGCCTCGATTTTCATTAGTGATGATAATCATGCATAGCCGTGAGGATCTGCACCCATACATGTACGATTACCTATGAGAGCATCTACCCCAGAACGGAGAATCAAGGTCGCTACCGCCTGTCTCACCGCCGATTTTTATTCCAACCAACAACAGAAAACAACGTCAAAGAGCGTTGCTGCTGTCGGAATAGCTTTAATTTCATCAATTTTCTCAATTTCAAATTATATTTTTTTTATGATACAGCAACACGGGCCCAGGTCCTAACTTTAAAGCCGGCCAGCGTTCTTAGTGATCAGATGCATCGGCTACCAGGGATTCATCCTAGGCCTCTGAATTCAATCCTAGACCGGGGTATTACACAAAGATTTAACCTAGGGAAGCCGGTAATCCTAGATATACGTCAAAGACACTGCTGGGCCTACCTGGCCACAAAAGCAAGCTGTTGTCAAAGATAGTATTCCTGAGAAGGTACACAGCGATCTACGAAAGAGAGAAGACATATATGGCCCAGTGTCCCAATAGCTATGTGGCGAGTCTTCCGGTCAGCTGGGCTTCCAAAAACAAAGCCAACAAGGAAGTAGCAATCGGCTTAGTATATTACACATAAAGACTGGACTTTGGATGACTACAAGAAGGTCATCTAGTTTGATAAGACTGCTGCTGTTTATCTTCATCGGCGAGGTTGTTACTGGGTCTAGCGTTCTCCAACAGAATAGATATGTAGTGCGCTCCTATATTTATAAGAATGGCGAACAATACCTTGGGCTTCACCGTACTCCTGAACCCAAACAGGTCTGGAAGTTTGAAAAAAAAAAAAAAAAGTAAAGCTTTCTCGCAACAGCAACGCTGTGTTAACTAATGATTACCAACAGCACACCCTCATCTCCAAGTTTATCCCGCTTGCAAAGGAACTCAGTCCTAAGCTCAAGTACAAAAACACTATACTCCGACACACAGGCATTAGATATAATCAATGTTCTGTAGCAGGTACTGGTTCCAGTGGATGTGTTGGGTCCCAAACTCGCCCGACCACACCATAATTGAGCCGTCGTGGTCGTATATAAAGAGAAACACTACAAATCTCCGCGTTCCGAAGCCGATTAGCAAGGCTCGTCAAGCTTAGCTACGTTGTCCGAAGGAATAACCCAAACAAAAATACAGAAGTAGATTAAACGAATCCCATGTTATATACAGGAACTTTGACTCAAAGGTGGAAATAACTATGTAGAAAGAAGGCAAAAGGACCACCAGCCATAATCTAGCGTTGCAATTAACCTACGTCATATTTTCTATATCTTAGGTATGGTATTAATTTTATCATTTTCCAACAGCAGGGAAAGTCTTTTAGTTACCTTAGTAGGTACCTCTGTAACTGCAGTTGTAGCTACAGGCAGGTACTTTTAGAGGTACCTACTTGTAGTTGATGCTCGCTTTAAAGCATACCCCCACCAAAATCAATACTCGGTACGTACTCCCGACTTGCATCTACCGCCAAATGCCTGCATCTGCGGCAACGCCTCTTGAAATCACCACAACGACACAGGCATCGCGTGCCCATAAACGCACGACTTTGCCCATGGAAGTGGACAGCGATAATGACTTGCTCAGCAAGACCGCCGCTGGAGAGCTCGTCGCCTCGTACGTGGCACATCATTTCATTCATTCTATCCTGTTTTCCCACCTGAGGTAGCCTTTATCGCGGTTCTGCTAACTGATTGCTTCTTTATAGAGAGGCATGGCCGGCCTTGCGCGATGATATCCTCGTGCGACTAGACAAGGTGCGTTTGCTTACCATGCAGCAGAAGCATCCGAAAGCATGAAAACAAGTCAATCAAATGCTAGAATTACTAACGCGAGGTCCTAAATCCGTCAGATCGCACGCAACGAGTTCCCCATACCCAAGCTGCCGCCTCCTGTGCCACGCCCACGGTTCTCGGACAAACGACTACTCTCTTCAACATCTTCATCGCCCGTCGAGCCGTTTTCCGACGCAAACAAGGAGAATGCGCCACTCGACGAGCAACCGCCATCCACGGCCAACACAGAACCATCCGCACCCTCTCGGCAGGTGCCATCGCAACCTTTGTCGCAATCCCCGCCGCAGACTCAAGAGCCCAACGTCCTGCCGAAGCAGCTAGCAGACATGGTCGACGAAATCAAGAACCACATTGGTAGCTTCAAATCGTATCCGCCTCATACAATCCAGAGAATCGCCGAGCTCATTCTGTACCCCCGCGCGCATTACAAGGCTCTGCCGTCATATCTTCACGCGTTGGACAGGGTAGCGGCCGTGACCTCGGGGACAGACACATACCCGCTACCGCCACCTATTCCAGACATGTCTTCGATCCAGCTCAACGGAGACGAACCCAGTGATCCTGCCATGGCTGTCTCCTGGAGTAATCCCACAGCAGTGGCAGTGGGCTCGGATGAAGCCCTAGGAGGGGCGCTGCTAACGCCCATTCCTTGGCTGATCAGAAGGGGTACGCCGCCAGAGAGCGCCAGCGAGCCACCAGCCGGGGCACAGATTCACAGCGAAAGCACCGAGACAATCGATGGACCTAATGGGGTGGGCAGCATCGAGACTGTCTCTGTCAGCATCAACGGTGTAGCATCCATGGGACACTCTAGGGGGGTCACCCAAGGCGAGCTGCTTAGGCAGGAGCAGAGGGCCGGTATCGTCCCCGTCAGCCAGCTCACCAAGTCCCACGATATGCTGATCGAAGGCGGGCCTGCGTCGTCAGATGATCATCCAATGGACGACGACGAAGAAGAGGAGGAGGTTCCGCACGCCAGAGGGCCAGATGAAATTGGCGTCGGTGATACGGGTCCTCAGTCGGAGACGACGAGTCTGGTTGGTGAGGATGGTGTCGAGATGCAGGGTATCGACCTCGAAGCCGCAGTTGGGCGGAAACACGTGGACGAAAATGACGAAAAGGACGTATCCTCCACGGCAGAGCCTCAAGACGCGGATAGCAAGTCCTCCCCGGAGCGGGCGAAGAGCCCCGGCGCTGAGAGTGTTAGCTCAAAGCGCGAAGCAGAAGACGATCTTGAGGAGGATGTCGTGGCGAAGAAAGTCAAGGAGGAGCCCAGTGGTGATGGCGATACCAAAATGACATCCGACGAGACGCCAGATCCTGAAGAGCAGAAAAGAGGCGATGGAAACAAGGATGACGCTGCGGACAAGGATAATGGAAAGATGGAGGCGTAATAATATCAATATGCCGAGATGCCAACAAGCTTCCATGAGGCTGGGCATTTGGATAGATCCCATCTTCTCCCTGCTTCTCTCCCAATCTCACTTGCGTGTTCCAAGCACTTCGAGAAGAGACGAGAAGAGACATGGCAAAGCAGCAAGCCTCGATTCTCGTAACATGCAAAAGGAGCCCCAAACTGCCTCTGGCCAATACGGCAAAATAAGGAAACCATGCCAGAATAGTGCCTCATACCCTTATTGTTGCGGCAAGCGGCCTCGAGTATGGGAGTATACATACCCGCCTATCCATGAAGGATTCAATAGGGCCTTTAACTTACTCCCTTACCGAGAAGGAGGCATCCTCACAAGAACACTTTTAGTCATGTATAATTAGAAACGGAGAATCATTCAAACATGTTTTACGACTAGGATACGAAATAAACCGTGGGTTTTATAAATTGCCTCGAGAGCTTGGATTTCCCCGTCTTTTCCACTTCTCAAGTAGCCACCACGATAGATGGGATAGGATAGGATATGGTTAAATGGTGATATATAAGGAACGTTTTGCTTGTCTTCGTGATGCTCATAGGTAGATCATCTAAATCCCCCAGCGGAATATCATATATCACTACAAGATAATCAGCTGCTCCAAACAATCTTGTACACGGATACCACCATCACAAGGGGCAAAGCACATACAACTGCATGAAGAAGACGACAAGGCACCACAGCCTCTTATAAATACACTACATATATTTAACCCTTCCCGTTCCGCCCCAGACATGCCGATTTTTTCATTTGCAAGTGGTCAACACCAGACCACAACAGCCATCCAGACAAAAAAACTCCTGGGCAAAAACAACGCCCACCCCAAAAACGCCCCCCCCCGCCCCCCCCCCCCCCCCCCAAACCTTCCCAGAGAGCCCCAGTATTACAACGTACTAAACAGTAGCTACTCAGAGCCTCTTTATATCGCGCGTCTTCTTCCTCTCGAAGAAAATCTAGATGAAGAGTGCATTTGCGTCGTGAATCGGTAAATGTCTTCTGCCGCAGCCATCATCGCGTCAAACATGTTCGATCTTAAGAAAAAGCCACCAGCCCATTCTTCCCAACTGTGATCAAGTCGTTGAGAAAGAAAGAGTAATCGTTGTGTAAAATGTACGGGGTAAAAAAAGACAGCCTGTATGTTTTCGGTATCAACTCCGTCCCCCTTGAATCCACTGTGCTCTGAGAAAATGGCTGATAAAGGATGCCGAAAAAGAAAGAAGATAAAACAAGGCCAACCAGGGTGAAGGATATCCAATGGAGAAAAAAACGCCGACGCCATGCTATTCCTTAAAGTAGTGAAAACGGTGTCATCAAGTGGAAATGAATCTGAAAGTTGCAGGCTACACGAATCCAGGAAATATGCTCGAAACAACACGTCGCCCTTGAATGCCAAAGTTAGACAAGGTTCGATCAAGATCCAGAGAGGGAGAAAGCAGGGTATGTATAACTCACATTTCGGACGTTTCATGTCCGGATCATCAAATGGCGCATTCTGGCTTGCAATCTCCCGCATACGCTCGCGAGCAAACGACGAAGGGCTATGGCCTCCGGCAGGATGTGCCACTACCAGCTCAACACCTTCAGTAGCCGTGGGTAGCAGCCTCAAGGCACGAGGCTGAGGCTTGCGTTTGGCCCGTGTCGTGGGCGCTGGATTTTGCGATGCCACGGGTGCTGTCTCTCCGATAGCATCCTCTTCGGACTCAGATATGTCCATAATCGTTGTCCCGGACGGCGTTGCTGACGGAATTTCTCTGATGGCTTCTGTATCCGTAACAGTTTGTTCGGAAGACGTCGGCGTCTTTTTCACACTGGCATCTCTGGCTGGTTTGCTGTTCTTGACCGGCGTCAACGGAACGTCAGGGGAAGTTGCATGGCTGCCCGAACTAAAGATTTTCCTTCCCCAGCCTCTGAGTTTGCTCTCGCCAGATTCCAGAGACGAGTAATCCAAATCTATCCTTCCTCGCAATTTCCGCAGGGCTCGTTCACGGCGGACCATTCCGTTAGTAATGGGAGGGCAGTAGCCACGGGGCAACATGCAATGCTTGCACATTGGACACAGTGAGCTATTTTCGAGCAGGAATTCGTCTATACAGTCGGGATGGAATATGTGGCCGCAGGGCAGTTCTTTGATAATGGTAACGCGGTGTTCGAAACGATCGAGGCAGATGTGGCAGTTTGGTTGAAAGTTGGTGGCGGTAGTGTCGGAACCTGTTATACTTGACCTTTTACTCCGTACGCTTCGTGTGCTACGGACGCTGTGCTCACTGGGGGATACAATGTCACTGGGGGCATGTCGGTCGTGCCGGTGGTTTCTCCTTGAGGACTTTCCAGAGCGAGATGCGCGAGGCATGCCTGGGGAAGAGGGAGTGGGTGGGCCGTTGAGTGCGTCTGGATCCTGGTTGTAGGTGAATAGCGGAAATCCCTGGACAAATGTCGTCGGGACAGTGAGTCTCTTGATACCCATGGCCTCGAGATCGACTTCGCCAGATGCAACGCGACGTTTCAACGACAAGCGGCGCCGCCTCTGTATCAGATGCATGGTGAGTGAGATGCCGCCGATGATGAAGAGCAAGGCGCCAATGACAATGAGGAAGAATATCCACAGAGCCGGGATATTGGTGGGATTCTTCATGTTCAGCTCGGTCCATATTCGAACATAGTCTTTTGGGTTGGGCCCATAGAGCTGCGAAATCTCTTGGCCATGGGGAATCTGGTTGACGGTTCCTGAGTAGAGGCTGAGCTGAGTCATCATTTTTTGACCCTCAAGACCCGAGACGGCAAAGACGGGATACTGGTTTTGCTTCCTCCAGGCGCCATCATCGTCAAGGTTCCAGACGGGGGAGTAAACATCCTGGGGCTTGTTGGAGGAGTTGTTTGGTTTGTAAAAGATGAAGGCGCGGATGGGGTCGGCGCGGGCGGCGGCGAGGTAGGCCTGGGTGCAATCTATGCTAAACCAAGGAGCGAGGGCGATGAGGTTGTAGTTGGTAGGCGGGAGGTTGGAGCGACGGGTAACATTTCTGGGGATGAAGTCGTACTGCTGCGTATCACAGGACGGCATTCGACTAATATCGGGAACGTATAAGAGGCCTTGGATGACTCCATTAAGGGTATCGGCATTAGTGGTGGTCAAGGTGGTGATGTTGCTGTCGATGCGCTCCTCGTATGCTATCTGACTCTGTCGGGCCCAACAATGTCGGCGTTAGCTTGGTCATGGAAGGACAGTGGACTGGACGCAACGCACGGAGAGCGCGGTAATGTTTCTGATGATGGTGGTAGGCACGGTAGTGGCACCACCCCAGACCGGATTACTGAAGAGAAGCCTGGCAGCGGAGAGTCAGCAGGCGATGCAGCAGGCGCGGCAGCAAGAGAGGGAAGAGTAAGAAGGGGAAGAAGACGGCAACTGGTGAGAGAGCAGAGGGACAGCGATGCGACAGTGAGAGCAACAGGGCAAGCAGTGCTGGTGACAGATGGTGGGACCAAGAGCGTATCGTATGGATGAGACGAAGATGCAAATCGGGGAACTTTGAGCGGAGAACATGGCAAGGCAAAACAGCGCCAATGGCAAGCAGACAAACGGCGACGACAGCAGCAACGACAGCAGCAATGACGAGGCAGGCGACGGCGACGGCGACGGCCAAGGGGAGCAAAACGAGGCATCAGAGAGGCATCTCGTGCCTTGCTGGAGGACATACACGACATTTCGAATCTCGGAGAGCGCTGTGAGACGTCAGTTGCCGGCCGCCAAGACCTGGGGTCACGTAGGGGTAGTCTTGGCCGACAGAAGGCAGAACTCACACATTCTTCTAATACATATTGAGGGCGAATCGGGAGGCGGCAGTCATGGTCCACGAGCGACGGCGACAGCGCGGGGACGAGGACGACTGGCAGAGGCAGAGCGGCGGGCAGCAGACGGCGAGCACGGCGAGCACGGCGAGGTTTTGGAGGACGCAAATTGGCCAGGGGGGGGCACAGGTCGAGTCGAGATCAGGATGAGGAAAAAAAAGAGCACGGCGGTGCTAAGCAGGGATGGCGGCGGGCGAGGTTTGGTTTGGTTTGGTTTGGTTTGGTTTGATTTGGCTGTGCTGTGCTGTGCTGTGCTGTGCTGCGACAAAATGTACAGGTACAGGTACAGGTACAGCGACAGGTACAGCGACAGGTACAGCGACAGACACTACTACAGTACCCTCAATACTGGAAGACAGCACAGCGCTGGACCGGAGTACGATGGAACGCCGATGCATCAAATCCCGGACTCCGTAGCAACTATGGGAGGGCTGCTATGCCACTGGCTGAGGCGCTGTGCCGGATGCCCGTTTAGCGGAGAGGAGCCACCAACAGCCACAGCGGTTCGCCAAAACGGGAGTCTGAGGTGCCAATGCAGGCTACTCGTACCGCTACCTGCAGTACGGGCCACGACGACGGCAGCACCGCAGGTCGACTCGCCTGAAAAAGAGACCGGTGGAGGCCAAGGCGGGGCGGCTTGACGGTAAGTCGGAAGCCAGAACGATATGGAGGCGTGGAGCCGGTGTGAGCGTCTCTGGACGCTGAGAGGGCGGGTCAGTTGCTGGTGGTTGCTGGTGGTTGCTGGACAGTGCTGGCAGCTCCAGCTGTCATCGCAGAGGCGCGGTACCTTTTGCCGCCTCCCGCGCAGGGCGAGTTACATGCAGCGATGCGTCAGGGCACAGTGTAGATGGCTTGAGAGCTCGTGTGCTCCAAAAGAGAAGAGCGGGCGAATCAAGGCCCCGGGCTGGCAGAGGCGGATGGGCTGCCGCTGCCGCTTCCGAGCGACAGACAGGAAAAGGGAGCGACGAGTCGAATCGGGCGTCTCGGGCTCGACGGGCTGCCAAGTGCATTACATTAGCACAGCCGCGCGAGATAAGGCACGTTGCCTACCGTATCGCATGGATCGCCAAGGATAACTAATACCTACTACAATAATTGTTGTTGGCGAGATTGGACAGAGCCGGAAGCTTATTTATTTATTTATTTAATTCCAAAGAGCAGAGGGGCAGTCAGTGTGAGACTATGGACAGCTTGGCGAGGTGTAATAATCAAGCTTCCATCGGTGGATAGATATATGCAGCATCAAGCAAGATATCCAAACATGTACTTATACAACAAAGCTGCAGCATCCATAGTGCAAAGTGTCGATGCCTGGTGCCACCTTTACCTTGCCCGTATGTACATGGAGGAAATGCCAAGCAGTTTCGTATATGCAGAAGCATGTTGTAGTGGCGATCACAACTTGCAGAGGACCGTCATCCCGGCAGCCCGTCATGATCTAATAGGCGGGTGCTATTTGCTGCTACCCTGCATTCTCCAAGGATGCGGAATTATAATTGATTAAGATGGCGCCTCGTGCTAGAGGCAGTGATGGTGTTGAGGCAGGGACGTGTAGCAACTCGATAAGTTTTAGCCCTCAATGTCCATCAGGAAGGGGATCAAGACAGCCCGTGCTTACTACAGGCTAAACTCCTTGTTCGCTTTCGTTCACCAGCATCAGTGCATGTTGTCATTTCCTCTTATCACTAACAATAAACTCTATCTATGCCTCATCCTTTCGGATTTGAACCCTTAAGACCAGGCGAGTGAGTGAATTCCCGCCTCTCGCGAAAATGCCCTCTTCATCCCGAACGCCGAGCACTTGCTGTCCACCATGGCCTCGCTTATCAACCACTGCTACCTACCAGCTGCTGCACACACACAACTCCAAAACACCCAGAATCCACGTAACCAGCGTTTGGTCCATCCTCTGACACGATCCGCAGCTCCCCATTGGCCCTGGCGCTAATCCTGGACAGGCGTTGGCGGCTCAATCCCAATAGACCGACACAAGGCCCCTTGTCGCTGGTGAACGCATGGAGCGATCGAGGCTGCGGGCAAGATGACGCTGGGGGGAGCCCAGCCCAGGATTGATGGATTCAATGCTGCCAGGTAGCAGAACTTCTGCCGTCGCTACGTTTCCTCGATGCCCGTGGCCGTGACTGTATGGTCTTTTTGTCAGCCCCCAATCATTTGCCGGTGTGCGTCCGTGTCTGGTTCCGAGCCAGCCTTGATAATCCTTGGACATGGGAGAGCAGCAAACACAAGCACAGAGCAGATGTCGAGCAACTGCGTCCCGTCCCATGTGGATACACACGTCTGCGAGAGGCTCGGTAGATGGTTGTGTGATTCTCACCATCCATGTCGGATCGACGGATCTCGCCTCGACATCAACCCGAGCCTTCGGCCTGGATGCCAACGAGCGACGACTTCTGCCGCTTCCAGACAGGCTTACTCTCGCAAGTCCAGAACCATCTCGTATGTAATACGACACGCCGTACTACTGCACGTAAGTACGGAGTACTGGTCAAGGACATGACAGCTTAGTAAAACTCATCCCAGACACATCTACTAATAATATCTGCCCTGCATAGTACTAGCACGGCACGGCTCTGCCGCATATGCAGCGAGAAGCGCCGCGACCTTCGCGCTCCCGACTGTTTCAGACATTGGCGAATCGGATAGCGACAGCAAAAAGCTTGGGCTCTCTCTGTCTGCCGTGCCATGCCGTGCCCTTGATTGGCCCCCAGATGCCATGCTATGCTATGCTATGCTATGCTACATATGCCATGCCTAGCGCGTCTGCTGCCGTGGATGTTGATCGTAGCAACGCCTTGGACGGCTATCGGATGCCACCCTCAGAAGCAGCAAGATCCAAATGCCCATATCAAGAGGGGTGGGCGAGCCGCAGAAACATGCCTGCCCTGGTATTCGCTTTGCTAATGCCGTCATTTCCCTCATCGTCTCGCTGCTGCAAACAAATGACATGCAATTTATTCCCCGCACCCATCAACGACCTAGTACTATCGTACTACTCGTATACACTTTCGTGCTATCATGTCCATAGGTTAGTGCAGTCACTGCATGTACGTTGCGGCACGAGGATGCCGGCATACACAACTACTGGGAAGATATCCAATAGGATGGGCACTGATATAGTGCTCACCGGCTCTATTCAATTCGAGACTCTCTTGATCAAGGTAGTATAATATAATACTCGTATGCACATGCTAACAAGGTAATATACTTACTGTACATGCATGCACTTGATCCTCCTCTATTAGGTAGTTGAACCGCCCCTGGAGTCGCGACAACCGAATACAAACTCGCAACTATTGATCCGACTATACTAGTCCTCTCCACAACCCGGCACTGCGCTGCCGGATTTCTCCTTAGCAAATGCCCATATACTGTTTGTCTACCTATATGTGTACGAAAGTATACTCGTATGCATCCCGGATCTACAGCCAACCACCATCATGGCGAGACTAAACACACATTGCCATGGCCGCCACACAATTTCCCCGTCGGTTAGCCCGCCCGCAAACCTTTTTTTTCCCCGAGGGAGAAAGCCAAGACACGGAAATAGTGTGTAAGCCAGGGGGGGAGAACGAGACAGATTCCACGCCTGAATACGATGATTACGAGAGGACGCAGAAGTGACGCCAAGTAACTCGTTGAACCAGGGGGGGGGGGGGCTAACTCTAAGATTTGCCATCTTGTCGACTACCTACTAGCTCTCTCTCTCCCATCCTTCCTGCTGAAGCTAAGCAACCTGGAATTACGCGGCGACGTATCGCGTGCTTGCCAGAGCGCATGTGGAGTCAGCACAAGAGATTTGAAGTATCCTCAGTCATGTTGTCTTCGCTTGTTGAGTGTCGAGTCGGGCCGCCTTTTGCTGCAGATAGGTGACCTGTCAACGCAAGTAGGAATCAAGACACACCGGATGTGATGCATCCAGACTGGTCCACCTCCATACAGGAAATTGATACGGGCATCAACGACATGCATCCCCGTTTACACGTTGTTGCGTCTCGTCACACAACACGTGCCTTACTCTATCCAAAAGAAAAAAAAGGAAAAATCAGTCCACTTTCAGAAACGTCTTTATCGTGTTGCGTGCTTCATACACGTATCTACATGTAGGCACATATCCATACATGCAATCCTTCCATCGCAATCACACAGCTCCAGGCACCCGACATCCGGTTATCAAAGAATCATTCCATTTTGCGGGATTTGGAATTCCTTCCCTTTCTCCATCCTAATTGCGCAACAACTCCAATTGTGATATTGGCCCCCAATTCAATTTTCCTTTTTCCGGCCCCCCATCGTGGCGGGAGGAGTCAGAACTCAACGTCTGTAAGGCGATGTAACGCAAAATACCCTGTTTCCGCCAGTGGAGCCGGCTCCCATATTAAAAATCCACGGGGGGTAAGGAATAGCGATGGAGGATTACCATGTCCAGAAAGAACCCCTGCTTTTCTTTAACCAAAAGGTCTTAGAGCTCGCCATTGTTACCAATTGGAGCTGTACAGGTGTTTCTGCCGATCTGTTGCACATCACTTAACCAACCCCGGAAATATAAGCTCTGGCCCTTCAGCGGGCTACCTAATGCCGAGCTCCAACTACCAGCATGTTCCGTCGTCTACGGCCAGCCCACCGTTATAAGATTGTCGTTTGGTTAAGAAGTATTTTATCTATCACGGTCAGTCACTTAGTGTGGCGTTGCTCTCTCTGAGAATGGGTATATATCACTATCTAAGTCCCTTATGCGGACATTGTGCTTTTGCCTACCAACACATCAACGAGCTAACCCTGTCTTCCGCTGGGGCTTCAACAATCCCACAACGACCCAACGACCTTTCTCTAGAACCTGTAGCCGCCGCTGTTGCCACCGTGGTCGCGGGAGCTGTACTCATCATCGTCGGCCTCGTCATCGTCATGGTGGCGGTGTCGTCTGCCATGGCCACTTTCCTCACGAGACCCATATTCGCCGCCGTAGCTGTCGTCTTGCCGGCCATAGTTGCTGCCATAACTGTCCTCTTCACGACGTCCGTAGCCGCTGTTGCCGCCGTAGCTATCTTCTTCGCGGCGTTCATAGCTGGATTCGTAGTTGCTTGTGTCGCGGCGCTCATAACTGTTGTCGTCGTCATCGTCCCGGCGATGGTGTCGTCTCCCTGATTGATCGTCAGAATCATGACTATGATGATGGTGGTGGTGATGGTGCCCGTGGCTGTGCTTCTTACGGCTGTCATTCGACCCCCTGCTGTCGCTCCTTCGCTGCTCATAGCCACCTCCGTAGCTTTCCTCCGTGGAGCGGTATTCGTGTCGTTCGGTGCGCTGTTCATACGATTCATAGGAGCTCTGATGAGTCTCCCGCCTCTCCTCGTAGCTGGAGCCCCCATATCCTCCGCTGCCGTACGAGTCTTGCTGCTCGGAGCGTTGATATGAGGATTCACGTCCACCGTCGGGGTGATAAGTTTGACTATATTCGGCTTGGCCGTATCGATCTCCCTGTTGGCCATACTCCCGCTGGCGTTGTGTATAGGAGCCGTCATCTCCAGTCTCATAACTCGTTTCTCTCTTGGTCGAGCCTTGCTCAAAGGCTCCTCCCAGGAGGCTTCCAGCCATTCCACTGATGAGGCCGCCGATGCCACCGTCTTCGCTAGACTGCTGTGGCTGAGTAAAAGGAATCTCGACACCGGTATTCTGGGAAACAAAGCCGGACAGGGCACCAGTGGCGCCCGAGAAGATGGCGGTTGCGGCTGCGCCTGCAATCTGATCCTCAATACCTTGAGGCTCGCCAAACTCCTTGCGCATCTTCAGCTTACCCGAGCAGCCGTGGCCAGTGTCGTGGACGCCCTCCTTGTGGTTTTCGCCATTCAAGACGCCCCGAGGAGAGAGCTTGCGGCGGTAGTCCTCGCGCTGGTCCTCACCCATTTCACCCCACCATTCTTGGACAGAGTTAAAGATGAGCTGTCGCGCCTCGGCTACACCATCATAGCCCATGTCACGCTGGGCTGGGTGGTGCATGACACCGTTGACAATGCGATTCAACAAGCGATCAACATCAACTGAATCATCGTCAATGGCTTCCATGAGCTGTGGTACCACCCAGTGGAGCATCCTGGCGGCAGTTCGGCCGGCAATCTCATTGAGAATCTACACCACCATTTAGCTTGTGAAGCCGAATCCCGGCACCTCGATGTTACACTTACGTTGGAGAAATGATCCTTGGACAGCATTGAATGGGTAGGATTGGAAGAGTAGTCGTCGTCAAAAACGACATGCTGTTCCTGCTTGCTGCTCTCGATGATTTCTGAGGATCCGGTTTGAAGTTCACTCTTGATCTGGTGGATCAATGGAACGATGAATGGTGCGATGATGGAAAAGACGAAAATGGAAAGCTGCTCCTCTAGTTGCTCAATAATCTTGGGAAGAATAGGGATGTTCTCAATAGCGCCGCTAATGCTCTTCATAATGCTATCGTGGAATTCAATGACGGGCATAATCTGTCGATAGATGTTCTTGACATAGACGGTGAATTCTTCGGGATCCTTGGGAGAGACTGGAACAGTTTCCTGCTGAGCGGCAGACGCATTGGACTGGAGCTCGTCAAGCTTCTCTCCTTGGTTGCCTCCGATGATTCCAGGAGGGAGCTTGCTGAGGAGCGATTGGAGCAAGCTTGTGTCACCGGTCTTGCCTTCGTTGAGTGCTCCCTCGAGTTCGTCAATTTCATTTTGAGTCAACTTATCCGACACTACGTAAGCGTTAGTAGTTGAAGGGTATTGCCCAAGTTGCAACGAATAATCTGCACTTACCCTCTCCGGTGACGGAGTGGAGGAAGTCGACGCCTCCGAATGTGCCCGTTACGATAGGATAGACGGGACCACGAGCACCTTGCAGTTCAATCTGAGTGTTGCGGCCAACGTGCGGGAAGACTCCACGTTCTCCCATCTCAATGAGTGCAAGCTCAGTATAGTTGCTGTGGGCGAAGAAATCTATTTAAGCTGAGGTTAGAAGATGGCTTCAAGCAAGCAAAACGGGGGGTCACCATAGACAATCAGCGTGCCGTGGGCGGCTTAGTCTACTGAATGCTCTGCAGCGGGATCTATTATTTACCTTCCAAACAGTGCAGACCAGTTCCCATCAACCGGAGGGCTTCGTACAGCTCCGGCTTGTTTCCGGAGCGCTTGTACTCACGACCTAGCTCGATGCATCGACCAAACAGATTCCGGACGTGTTTAGCGGATGTCATGATACCAGCTTGCTCGTTGGCAATGTAGTTTTTCATTCCGGTTTCCGGATCGATAGCCAGCTCGGTCTCCTCGTCGATGGGGCCTCTCAGGCGGGGATCAAAGTCTCGGGGGTCGACGCCTTCTCCATAGCCCTTGGGATTGTCAATGTGATCTTCTGGGCGATAGCATCCAAGACGCTCGGCCGTAACCTCAAACTCGCCAGAGCCGTAGCCAAAGGACATAAAGCCAAGAACGCAGAGCAGAAGTCGGATGGCCTCGGCAGAGACCATCTTGACGGTAGCCACATCGATGGCCTGGGAGTAGTCGCGCAGCCAGTTGCCAAAGTAAACTCGAGAGACAGTCCGCTTGTTGAATTTCTTGCCACCCTTGATAGCATGGGCCATGGCCAGGGTTAATAACGCATCTTCGATGTCGCCGTGTCGCCCTGTAGATTTACGAGTTAGCGATATGGAGAAACAGAAGAGCTTGAGCAGAGCTGGCATACAGTTTTGGCCCTCAACCTTGGAGACAGAGGCAATGTTGCCAGCTCCAAAAGCAGCGGCCGGCTGGACCAAGCAAACAAGGAGCACCAGCCCCAAAAGGAAGCCAGGCGCCCTAAAGTCGATCATGGTGCCACGCTTTGCAGGAATGAATCGTCAATGTTTGTGCGATGCCGCAGCGAGCCTGTCGCTATCAGGAGAGATCTAGATGATGAGACTTGGCTAATACCCAAGTTCTCTTGGCAACGAAAGTGGAAATAGGAAGAAGAAAAAGAAGACAGGAAGATACTAGGTAAGACCAGATTGGTGAAGGGAATATTAAAGGAGGAAACGGCGAGAAGAGAGGGGCCAAGGTACGGAGCATGGAGGGGCATTTTGGACGGAGCACAAGGTCATGCTACTCGTACTACTCCACGGATATACTTAGTAGCACAGGTAATCGGCCTCAGCTCACACCAATCGGCAGCCGCATCAGCTGTCGTCAGGAGTCTTGGCAGAAGCTCCAGCAGGGTCCAGAGACCAACCAAAGGCCACCGGACGGCCTCTGACGCAGCGGCTTTTAGCTCTGGATGGCATGCCGGCGCCGTTTCATGCCGCGAGGGGCAACAATGCCGGCGGGCTTTGGACGCCTGGTGGGGGATCAAGATACCTCGGACTTGGTGGCGTCCGCACGCAGAGGGCGGGTATACGGGAGACGCTTGTGGCAGACGCTATTTCGGCCAGGGTCGGTAAGGTTACTTGATACTCTGTTTTTAATACGACCACGCGTCGCAGCAGCGGTCTGAAAGGGTCGTGGCGATGCTTGTACTGTAGAGTAGAGCAGATCAGATCAGCAGATTGAGGAGAAATGACATCCATGTACGGAGTACAGTAACATGTATCTGTGCACTAGGTACCCGGTAGTACGCAAGGGGGTTCAGAGGTACCTACCTGGCACATGCAGTAAGGCTGACTTCGATTGCTGCGTGATGCTCCGGCACAGCTTCGATCCCCCGCCCAAAGAGAAAGAGGCGTCGATGCGTCGTAGATGAGATCTGTGCTCGCTTTTTAATTACAGCGATGCATATGTGCAGAACTACCAGGCGAGACAAAAGGCATTAGTCCATAACAGTAGGTAGGGACCTTTAGCTGCTGAAGCATTCCAGGTTGATACCCAAGTTGCTTCATGCATGGCGCTCATGAAGGTGCTAGTCTATGAGAGTAGGAGCTCGGCACTTGCTGGACTTGATTGCCGGGATACCTGCATCGGTAGCACTACACACTTCAGATGTCAAATTTATGAGCAATCTCTTGTACGAAGCTATAAGGATGCAGAAATGACGGCATTGTTGAGGCTGTACCAGCTGCGATGCCACCAAATTGAGCAAGAGACAATGGAATCAGTGCCCAAGCAGATGCATCAACGTCTCCGCACGTCTTCCTCAGAGACAAGGCTGTCGCTGCTTTACATGCGCCAATGTGACGGATATGTATTCACTAAGAACGGTAGACGGGCCATGCCGGCAGTCAAGAGCTGACAGCATCTGATACATGCCACCGCTGTAGGTAGGGAGATTGCCACCACGTAAGAGCTGTGATGACTGGAGACCACCTCGTTGCTAAAGTACATGACTGTTGTATGCATATGCACGGGCTATTATGTCAACAATACAGCATGGTATGTGAGCAGATGTATCATCCAGAAGCTCGGGCTATACGTGCCGCGCAGAAGTACCGGCATCGTTGCCCAAGTGCTGTATATGCCAGTGGCCAGGCACCTACTTGAGTCTCGGTGGACGGGATTCCAACCCGCAGCACATATTTTAGTTAAGCCAACAAGCAGCAGCAGCAGCAGCAGCAGCGTCTAAAGAGCTCCAAGATACATGGCTGCCCGAATTGTAGTAAAGGCTGGGCCTTTGCAGGGCATTGCCAGCACTTGACGGGCTACTGTGATTTATCGTCATTGTTTACCTACCAGCAATAGGTACTAGGCAGTAGTCAATCCTTACGGGCACATGTAGCTACATGTAAAGCAACTTGAAGATACTACGTTCAGTCTCCAGCCTGTCTGATGCTCATTGTAGTACTTGATACTCCTCGCGGTTCCACGCAGAGCAGCTTCAGATCCAGCGGGCCGGTACTACAGGCTTCCCATCAGCGTGGTCGTGGGCAACGTTCTAACAGACATACAGCCCACGTCGCCCAAATACAGCGGCCATCTGCATGTTTCACTCACACTCCAGCGCGTGCTCCATCTTGCCACAGCTCTCTCGACAGTCTCGTCGCTAGCCAGCTTCAACTAATCCGTCCTGTTTTTTCCAGCGCAAAATACCGCTCAGCAGCTGGGCTTGGGATGCAGAGGAGCGAGGGAACAGCGTCGAACGATGCGAGGTGGTGCGCGGCAGAGGCGGGGTAAGCTGGTCGACGCAACGGCGCCCAACAAAGGCCCATGGCGCGCTGTTTCGTCCACTGACGACCGGATCAGCGAGGCGAGGGCAGCAGCAGCAGCAGCCATCGGCCATCGGCCAGACGCTACAGACACGTCAACAATAATTGCTCCAAATGATCACTTGCCGCTTTTAGGCGCTGAAACTCCAGTGGTGAGGGGCATCCATCATCGTGCTGAAATGTACGCCACGTACGCCGCGGCGCCAGTGGTCGCCGAAAGACCGCTAGCATTCCGTCTTGGGCCCCAATTGGCTGCTGTCCCAGTGTAACCAGCGGCTTGCTCGTCGGATCCCAGGAGGGTTGAGCACAGATCAGTCGTCGCTGCGTCGTTTTAGGGACGCCATCTAGGTGCTTCAGAAGGTAGCTGGTAGGTATTGCTGAACCACCAAGCTGGTGAAGCGGCTTCTCCAGAAGGCCGGCAAGGGCGCCGTTGGCAGCGCAGAACCAGCACAGGACACGCGCCGGGCTCAGCTAGATGGCAGGGCATAGTTGATGAGCAACAACGACAACAACATCACTGGAGACGAGAGAAAAACGAAACGCCATTGCACCAGAAGCAGTAAGCGAGCACGCACAAAGTACCTGCTCGGTACATGCAAAAATGTCCCGACATGAATCAAAAATGCCCTGCGCAAGCGGGCATCCAGCTCAGAGGAAAGAGCAGCCGTGCATGTGGAGCGAACGACTGACCGCCCAAACTGAGCTGCATGTTGTAGTGGCTATGCTGGAGACTGGCAGTACCGTAGCTGCATGGCGGGAGAATCCATGGCTGTCTAGCGACTCTTGCGAAGAGAGAGGTGGACTGTAAAATACGTAGGTGGGTGATGTCGCGGTAGAAAGCCATCCATGGATGGGCTGACGGCTGTGGTTGACGGGTTACATGTACGGAAGTACGGAGTATGGAGGCGTCAATCATCAATGCGTCAGGTTCTGTGCCTGTCAACTTGCCCTGGCCACAGGCACCTCAGCGAGGACAGCGAAGCTCAGCGTGCCCTGGCGAGAGGCTGAGGGGGCTGTTGTAAGCGCTATAGCGCCCGAGTGCGACCATTTGCCGGATAATCGCGGCCGACAAGAAGACATTGACGGGAAATCGGGCACCAGGGCCCTGGAGGAAGCACCGAGGTCTGAGCTGAGCTGCTGGAGCCAGCAGGCCAGAGCCCAGAGCAGAGGCCCAGCTGGAGAGGGCAGAGTCCATGAGAGCGCAGTGCGGGGTCTCTCAGAAGGCCCAGGGCACGGCCGTGGTTCCGAGTCGAGTCGAGTCGAGTCGAGCTGTGTAGAGAAGAGCACGGCGTGATGGGTTTCGTAGATAGCGTGATGTGGTATTTCCCAGCGGGCGCGCGAGACATCGCTGCGCCAACTGGTTGGGCTTGGCCAGGCACAAGGCCAGGCGCCTACGCAAAATTTTCTACGTGCGTGCGTGTGCGCAATGAGACCAGCCGCTGGATTTACGCGCCAGAAAATGCTGTGGGTGCCTCTAGCACGATCAATCAGCGGACCAAGTCCAAGTGACGGAGTACCAGGCCTGTGTGGGATGGGAGGAGGGGCGCCAGCCCAGCCCGGGAAAAAAAAAAAGAAAAAAAGTCGACCGCTGCTACTGCCGCTTTTGCGCTGATTGCGCGCTCCCCCCAAAGCCCCGGCGCAGGTACTTATTGCGCCCACCGCCCACCACAAGCCCCAACCCCCGAAATTTTGTTTTCCCCCCGTTCTTCAGCACTCTTGCATCCCCCGAAAAAACCCAAACCCGTCCCTGATCCACCACCTCAACCTTCATCCCGCTATCCATTAGATCACTTCCAGCGGGCTTCCCAGAACATCGCGACAGCGCATCTTCCAGCTAGGAAAAAAAAAAATTACACTCAAGGCCAGTGCCCGCTCAGCAACGCGCCGGCTTTTCAGAACCTCGCCAGCAGCCACTTTTTGCCGCTAGAACAAGCTGCCCGCAATGCCTCGCCCGCCCAAGAAGTCGGTTGAGGAAAAGGCCAAGGTCCTGCCTGTGGCCGTTGTGCCTCCTCCCACCATGGTGCCGGCGCCCGTCGTCACCGGATTGCACCCAGCTGTTCCCGGGCCTGTTCCCGGCGTGCCTCAGCGCGTTGTCGACAACGATAGCTTCCTGCGCGTGCGCGACTCGGTAAGTTGATCACTTCAGTGCTTTGCTTCAGCCCTCCTCCGTCAAATGAATGCAGGTGATGATTTGCCTTTGGGCGATGCGGCCAGAGACACGCGCTAGTGTCGAGACTGCATCTCCTTTACTGGAGTGACGTCGAGTGAACGGCATTTGTCTGGCTCTGTTGTGTGGCGAGGACTCGCTTCAGGCATCGTGAAACAGCCAAAACACAGACAATGCACACTCAGCTTCACTCTCTGCATCTCGCATTTCATTTCATCTGACTCCCCATCACATTTGCCCATTGCGTCCAGCTCCACGCGACCAGTGCTCACTGCAAGCCCCTCATTGTTTACATTCGACGCTGGCTGAGCCCCGCGTCTCACTGAGATGCTGCCTGAAGCCACCGTGTGGCGGGAAAGCTGTAGTGGCTCTATCTCACAGCCATGGTCCAGCTCTGCCTTTTACCCCCTTTCTTCGTCTTCCTTGCCTGAAATTAAAGCCCTTTTTGAACAGTTTGCTAATGAAATCGATTAGGCCGTTGGCAGACTCACCACCATTCTGGAGCTTCTGAGGTCCTTCACCAATGACTACATTCGCCAGACCAACCTGCTCCTGGGCGAGGGCACTGCAGAGGGTCCTCAGGGCGACCTGCTCAACACCTTTGATGCCGCTGCTCAGCTCATCATGCCCATGCCAGACATGACCCCTCTGGTTGAGGAGAAGAAGGAGCGCAAGAAGCGCACCCACGACCCCAATGCCCCCAAGCGCCCCCTGACCCCTTACTTCCTCTACATGCAGCATGCTCGTTCCATCATCGCCAACGACCTGGGTGCTGATGCTCCCAAGGGAGCTGTTCAGGAAGAGGGCCAGCGCCGGTGGGCACACATGACTCCCCAGGAGAAGCAGGGCTGGAACAACGCCTACCAGTACAACCTGCGCCTGTACAATGCTCGCGTTCACTCCTACAAGAACGGAAACCCTATCGCCAAGAACATGACTGATGAGGAGGCGCTTAAGTACGCCGAGGATTTCCACATCCCCATGCCAGAGCTCAAGGAGGCCACAGCCCAGGCTGAGGTCCCCGTCAACGACCAAGAGGCTATCGCCGAGCAGCTGCAACAGGTTGCCGCCGCCGCCTCTGACGGTGACGAGGAGGAGACTCCTGCCAAGACCCCCAAGAAGCCTGCCTCCAGCCGCAAGCGCAAGACTGCTACCCCTGCTGCTGAGGTAGAGACACCAAAGGTCGCCGCGCCTGCCAGCCCGGATAAGAAGCGGAGAAGGACGTCGACCAAGGCGGCCGAGCCTGAGAAGGAGGAGCCCAAGAAGTCAGGACGCAAGAAGACTAAGAGCACTTGAGCAATGTCTTTTGGCGGCTAGCAGCAATCAAGCTGCCCCTTCCCGCACGTTTGCCCCAAGTCCAATTTGGCTACCAAGGGGGGGACGCCCTGGAGGAGCAAAGGCTTTCTTCCAGGACTTATTCTCATGTCATGATTCCATCGTCTCGTGCCAGCTTACGGACCGCAAAACTAGCAGAAGGGTTTGTTTGTCTTCTTCTCTTTCACAGTTGGGCTCTTGGTTTTTTCTTTTTTTGGTTGAGAAAGGAATCATGATACCTCAGACGAGAACGGCGTGGAGATGGGGCGACTCCGTCCGTCTTGCGTGTTTTGGCATGAACCAGGGAAAAATCAATGATTGGTTTTTTCCCTTTTTATATCTCTCGCTTCATTCCGACTTTGTTTCATCGCCCGGCATGGCGGTTCGTATAAAATCAGGGTTTTAGGGCGTATAGCTATTCGTGTGTGTTTTTTTCCTCGTTTTTATTATTCTTGGCCCTTTGTTTTTTTGAAAAGGGCCAGGAAAGGGCATCCGGGATTTTCGCTAGGTAGTTCTCTGGGACCAAATTGGGGGAAAGGGCGGGTTGTTACGTCGTGTATTTAAGTCTCTCCAGTTCGTTGTTGGACGGCCGAACTTTGTATGCGATAATGAAAGCAATGATTAAGCAACATGACTCTTATATCTCGTTTCTCTTTTTTTACGATGAACAGTGAGCTTGATGAAATGACTTTTTTTATATTTAAACATTTGATGTGGACTACATTCTACTTCATCAATCAATACACATACCAAGCCTGTGTCAAAGGGAGTGTCGTCGCTGGCTCGGCGCTGCACACCTGTCCATCCGCCTCGACGATGTAACTCTCCGGATCGACCTTCATCTTGGGCATGGTGTCGTTGTACCGCATGTCGCTTTTGGATACGGTGCGGCATCCTTTGACGGCCTCGACGCGCTTTCGCAGGCCATATGATGCAATGGCGCCGGAGACGATGGATTCGTTGGAGACGAAGAGAATGCTTGTTTGAGGGACGAGGGGAGCGAACATGGGGCGAGCGATGATGGGCTGGACCGTGGGGATGGAGGCGTTGGGGTCACCCTACGGAGGTTTAGATAGTTAGCTGTTAGTCCGAGAAGGAGTGTTCATAAAGGAGAACAGGGGGGGGAAGGAGATGTGTATACTGACCATTTGAGCCAAGGCAATGAGGCCGCTCTTGATGACGAGCGACGGCTTGGTTCCAAACCAGGCCGGGTCCCAGACCACCAAGTCCGCCAGCTTGCCCACCTCGATGCTGCCGATGACATGGCTGAACCCCTGGGCCAAGGCAGGGTTGATGGTGTACTTGCTCACGTAGCGTTTCACCCTGAAGTTGTCTGCGCCTGTTCCAGCATCTTCCTCCAGGGGCCCCCTTTGCGACTTGTTCTTGTCAGCCGTGTTCCAGGTCCGGAGAATGACCTCGCCGCATCTCCCCATGGCCTGCGAGTCGGAACTCATCATGCTAATGGCGCCAAGATCGTGAAGCACGTCCTCAGCAGCGATGGTCTTGTCGCGGATTCGACTCTCGGCAAACGCCACGTCCTCGGGGATGTCCCTGGACAGGTGGTGGCAGACCATGAGCATGTCCAGGTGCTCATCAAGTGTGTTCTTGGTGAACGGCCGGGTAGGGTTGGTCGACGATGGGAGCACGTAGGGGTGCTCAACAACAGAGATGATGTCTGGGGCGTGGCCGCCGCCTGCACCTTCGGTGTGATATGTGTGGATGGTGCGGCCCTTGATGGCTTCGATGGTGGACTCGACGAAGCCAGACTCGTTGAGCGTATCGGTGTGAATAAGACACTGGACGTCGAGCTCGTCGCAAACCGTAAGGCACGAGTCAATGGCTGCTGGAGTGCTGCCCCAATCTTCATGTAATTTGAGACCACATGCTCCAGCGGCGACTTGCTCACGAAGGGCGACGGGGGAGCTGTCATTGCCTTTGCCAGTGATGCCGACATTGACAGGTAGCGTATCGCAAGCCTGGAGCATCTGGCGCATATAGTTCTTTCCTGGAGTGCAAGTTGTTGCGTTGGTGCCAGCACTGCATGGTTTATATCAGCCAGGGTTCATCAAATGGATCGTACCAGATTGCAAGTGTGAATGAGAGCAATCATCGGGATGGAAGGGAAGAATCATTCGCACTTACCTAGGCCCCACGCCGCCTCCTAACAATGTGGTGATTCCAGATGCAAGAGACTCGTCCGCCTGTTGTGGACATATGAAGTGAATATGACTGTCGATGCCGCCAGCTGTGATAATCTTTCCCTCGCCAGCCACGACATCGGTACAGCTGCCCACGACCATCCCTGGCGATACGCCGTCCATGACATCAGGATTGCCTGCCTTGCCAATTCCCACAATGTGGCCGTTCTTGACACCAATATCGGCTTTGTAGATGCCCGTCCAGTCGACAATGAGCGCATTGGTCACCACCATATCCAGCGAATCGGCATCTAGTCGTCCAGTTGCTTGCCCCATGCCCTCACGCAGTGTCTTGCCACCGCCAAACTTACACTCGTCTCCGTAGACGGTAAAGTCCTTCTCGACCTTGACCCATAGACTTGTATTCCCTAGGCGGACCAGGTCGCCAGTCGTTGGGCCAAACATTGTGGCATACGAGGCGCGATCCATCTGGAACGCATCGATATGAACAGCGTCGGTGAGGGGTTCTGGGGTATGTGCGAAGCCAGCCTGCTGTAGCTTTGCAACAATGTCGTTGACTCTCCAGAGCTCCAGACCTCCAGTTGCCATGTTGTTGCCGCCGCGGATGACCTTGTTCCCCCCGATTTCCACCAGGGTCACCGTCTTGGTGTCTCCGGGCTCAAAGCGAACCGAGGTGCCCGCCGGAATGTCAAGCCGGTAGCCATATGCCCTCTCACGATCAAAGTCCAGCTGCGGGTTTGTCTCGATGAAATGGTAATGCGAGCCGACCTGAACGGGCCGGTCTCCCTTGCTCGTGACCCTGAGCCTGATCCTCTTCCGGTTCTGGTTCAGCGATACCTTGCCCTTGACGGCCACCACGACGCCGGGCTGCGCGGTGGGTTCGTACTCGTCGGGAGATGCCAGAGGGAAGAGTTCAATGTCCGGAATGGGCAGGAAGCTCCCATACAGAGCGCGAGCCAGGTCACCGTCGTCTGTGCGGATTGGATTGTGGACAGTGACCAGATAGGTGCCCATGGGGAACGTGCCTTCAACCTGGATTTCGGTCAAGGTAGCGCAGACCGAGGGCTGGACATGACGGCGACCAAGCATGGTGGATCCGAGGTCCATGAGATCAGCGACGCTGTGGTTGCCATCGCGGATGAGTTCTTGTAGGTTGTTTGCGATGAGAGCCTTGAGGTCAATGGCTATTAGTACTAAGACTTGTGCTGAAGCTGGACACGGCTTTGAAGCTGGAGAAGAAGTACCGTTGCTTCGCTATGATTCAGCTTGACCCCCCTGGCGAGCCGCTTCTGCGCCAGAAAGCCCACCTGTGAGATGACGAGCTTGTCGAGCTGAACGCGGGATAGCAGAATTGCTGGTGGTTAGCCACAGATCGATCCACCAGAGAGAGGCTAAGGCGCTTGGCCGCATAGTGTCTTGTCTTACGTACCTCTTTTGGTACCAGGTGCATTGTATTGAGCCTCACTCAGATCCAGGAAGTGAATGGAGCAGCCGGTTTAGCTGTAGGGAAGAAAATCCAAAGATCTGGGTCGTAGAACACCAAGTAATCGTCGTGCAGCCTTCCCCGCAGGCCATACATGCCTGTCTCGACCATTCTTCGTCCAGAGATAAGGACCGCTGATACGGACAGCCACCTGTAGACGTTACCTCATCACCTTTATCTATCAAGATTGCCGCCATTGATACGGGTGTCAAGCCTTACCCGCTGTGGCTCAGCGCGCTTGCCCGCCGCATGTGCTGAATCAGGCAGCTGGACCCTGAACTGTCAATAGATGGACCCTTGGTCTAAATTATCAAAGTCGACAGATTCTTATATCTCATTCACAGATACACTTGCACACACGAATTTACGCTGCTTCAAATAAAGTTAATCGTATGAATATGTATCTCTCAAAGCGCTTCATAAACACACGACAAGCCGATCCATAACCAAACGCCATTCCACCCTTTCAAAATCAAATGACGAAACCACCTAGGTAGCATCAATGCCAAACTCCAAGAAAACACCCCCCAGATATATCCGAGCTATTCCTCTTCAATCTCGTCGTCCCACTGGTCCTTCTCCTTCTTTATCAACTCCGCCATCTCTTCCGGCTTGAAAATGGAGCTGTCTGGATCTTCAGCCCGGGGGACCTTGTTGAGATTCTCGTCGTCAAAGACGGATCCAATCGTGTCGATCCACCTCCTTCGCCGCTCCATCAGCGTCTTGGTCAGGTCACCTATTCCTGGCCGGGCCATACCCGCCGCAGCTCCGACAAAGTGGCTGCCTCCACCTGCACCTCCGGGACGCTTGGATTTCTTGCTTTTACCCATTGTCCGCGTGCGCTTGAGATAGGCGGCATTGACTTGCGAATCCAGATCTTCGAGAATGGTCTGGTATTCTTGGTGGGCCATCCGCTCACGCACCAAGTCCATCAGTCGTGCTTTGCGTGCGCCGTTGACAAGCATCTGCTCTTTGAGTCTAGCTTGCAATAGCCGCAGTCTGCCTGCGACTTCATCGTCAAAATGGCCGTCGTATTCGCTTTCAATGCCCTCTTGTGGCAGAAACCCAATATGCCGAAGCTCCTGCTTAAGCCGCTCCTCAACCTGCGCATACTCAAGCTTTGGATGCGTTGCCTTCTTCCATGACTCCGTTGATGACTCCACCATGAAGGTAGCAGGTGGCACTGGGCTGGACTTATCATCAATGCCATTCGGTTCATCGCCGTTAATATCTCCGTTCATGCTGATGTCACCATTTGTAACCCCGTTAGTAGTTGGCTTGTCATCGGAGGATTGTATTCGCGACTCAGGTCGCAGAGCTTGTAGTAATCGTGTGGCAAGGGGACCGATAGATAGCGCATCCGTCTCAGCTACGCCGTCATTCATATTATCAATGCTACCGCGAGGCTGGTTAGGCGGCAACTTGTCGCGATTCTGCTGGGGGGTGTCAATGGACATGGCACCATCCTCCTCTGCCCAGACCTCAGTATAATGCCTCTTGCCGCGCTTGGGCATGACAAAGGGCGTCACACGATCGCTGCGCTCTCGCAAAAATGCCAGGTCTTCTTCTGAGAACGGACGAAAGTAAGGGTCGATGTATGTGGAAAAGGTCGAAAAGTTGATTTGACTGCTCGGCTTGGCATTACTAAAGTCCTTATCCGGAGGGTCGCCAGCGATCATGTCGGCTAAATCACTCTTCGGATACACTGCAACAGAGTAAATCTTCTTTCTTTCTTCATCCGGCATGCCATCGTAGGTGGGTAAAATCTCGTAGATGGTGGGGTCCGGAAAGGTGGATGGATCTTCGCCAAACGTTTGAGCTTGGGGCAGCTCGCGCCTTGGGGGTGCGCCCTCATCTTCCGAGCTCTCTTCTTCCTCTTCGTTTTCTTCTTCCTTCTTAGGCTTCTCGTCGGTTTCCATGGCGTTTGGTGATGCTCCGCCAGCAATGGGGGAGAGCGACGAGCTGGCGTCATCGTTGTCGCGCACGTGCTTCCTCTTCGAGTCCC